TCAGTATTATTTAATGAACAAATGAGAAATGGAACTTTTCCAGACCGACTGAAAATTGGTAAAATTAGCCCTATATACAAAAAAGACGGTACAGAATATCTCGAAAACTATAGGCCAGTATCTACCCTAGCTGTGTTCGGAAAGTTATTTGAGAAAGTAATCTACTCCCGTTTGTACAGTTTTCTTGTGTCGCAGAACGTTTTGTTTGAGAACCAGTTTGGTTTTAGGAAGAGTCACTCAACTAACCACGCCCTTAATTACTCAGTTGACTATGTAAACTCCCATATAAAGGAAAAGCAACATGTATTAGGTATCTTTATCGACTTATCAAAGGCATTTGACACTATCAGTCACGATAAACTTCTCATAAAACTTGACAAATATGGTATAAGAGGTAACGCAAACGAGCTTATTGGAAGTTACCTATCTAACAGACAGCAGTACGTTTCAGTTTTAGGTGAGGAATCTGATAAACTCCCTGTTATTTGTGGAGTACCACAAGGTAGTGTTTTAGGACCGCTACTGTTTATAATTTACATAAATGATATCTATAACTCATCAGACCTAGGAAAATTTATACTTTTCGCTGATGACACCAATATATTTGTAGTCGACAAATCTGTCCAGAATCTCTACCAAAAAGCTAATACTATAATGAATTCTGTTTACAATTATATGAAATGCAATCTTCTCCACATTAACATCAAGAAATGCTGTTACATTCACTTTACACCAGGAAAGAAGGATGTAACTAGTAGTAGTAGTGATAGTAATGATCTTATTTTAACGTTGAATAACACAGTCATTAAACGTGTTGATGAAACTAAATTCCTCGGCGTTATTATAGATAAAAACCTTAACTGGAAACCTCATACAGTCATACTGCATATCTTAGTTCTAAATTAAAGTGTGAAGTCGGTAAACTCTGCCGTATGAGAAGATTTATACCTAAAGAGCTGTATAATGACCTCTACCACACCCTCTTCGAATCTCATCTAGGATATGGGATCTCAGTGTGGGGAGGCATATCGAACAATAGGCTTGAACCAATATTTAAAATTCAAAAAAAGTGCACTCGTATTCTATTTGGTGATCAAGAGGCATACAGTAATAAGTTCAAAACATGTGCTAGAACCCGCCCAATTGGATCCCAAAAACTCGGAGCCGACTTCTATAAACGAGAATCAAGTAAACCCCTTCTCAGCAGAAACAAAATACTCTGCGTGCATAATTTGTATAAGTACCACTGTCTACTTGAAATGTTTAAAATAATCAAACTTCACACTCCAATACCGATGTACAATTTATTTCAAAAGTCACCCCGACGTGATAACTACTTTATTAACCCCGCTGCAACCAATTTGTTTGTATATAAAACCTCGAATATGTGGAATAAATTCCTTAAACCTTCTAGTAAGATTGACTTCTCGTCCCCAATTGCACTTGTTAAAGGTCGCATTAAAACTATGCTACTCAATGCTCAAAAAGCTGGAAACACTGATGAATGGTCAGAACTCAACTTTGATGGAAATGACATGTGCCTATAATTAAGAACACACAAACTAGTCCATATAGATTTCATACTACACACACAAAATAACACACACAATACACACCACAGTCAAACATAGAAACTATATATTCACGCATATAACACAAAACACTGATCAGCTCATCCGCTTTACACTAGTGTCTGGACTTGTCTGGAGTGGTCGTCTGGAACGTGGGACGGACTCACAAATATATTGTGTAAACGTAGCGCGCGAAACTTAAATATTGTATAACTCTATCATTTCATTACCCAGCGTGATTTATTGCGCCAGAATAATGAAATGAAGCCGCGCTATATCCGTGAACCTACAGTGACTTATATTTTATATTTTGTATCTCTTACTACGTAACGCGAAATTAAGTTGTATCACACTCCCGGTTTTGGACCCCAATGTTAACCTTGCAGCAACTGTGTCAGCCCAATATACTCTAGAAGTATGATCACACTTATTTTAATGAACAAAAGACCCATAATTAATATAATCAGATACTCGTCAACAGCAGCAATTTCCTTACGTGTGATGTGTTGTCCTTCTTCTTTCTGTGTCCCCGTCGTTTTGTTTTGTGAAATGTATCGTAGTAATGTTTTAATATTTAAATCGAACGCAACTCAATAGTTAATAATAACAAACACAAATACTATTTTAAATAATTGATTAATATCGATTTATATACGAACCAAACATTAATTAATCTTTAATAACCTTTTATATATGTGTTAAACGATCCAGGGCATATCTAAAATTCGATAATGAACTTCATATATTATTAGTGCCGCGTGCTGACAAATATTCTGGGAATCAATCCACCCAATCGTGGCGATAACATATTTTTGTGCTTGGCCGGTTTTAGGTTTGAGTTTGTGCTCCAAAAGTGGTAAATCGGGTGCTAGTAAAGCTCTTGCAGGCAACTGGCTCCTTTTGCCAATTGCTTTTGGTTTAAGCGCTGACTCACATTTGGAACTGGCACTGGTATAATTGTAATATCCTACGAAGTCAGCATGCTATATTATTTTGCAAAACTCGTTTAATATCTTGACAATATTTACAGTTTTAAAAAGTAGTAGTGCAGTAAAAATAGAAGAATTAGATATAAATTTGGAGCCAGTTCTTTAAACTGGCTTACTTAAAGGGTGTTTATAAATTTTATGTAGTTTTCTATTGCATTTATATTGAATTTTTATATAGGGTAATTGTTATATTATGTGTATATTGTTTGAATTTCTTCTATATTTACAGTTTATGGTTTTAGGTTAAGGCGCGGCGCACGCACCGCTTATAGGTTATAGCTCATTCAGCTTCTGTTTTCAGCGCTGTGTTGCTACACACTGTATAGCATGTGGGTCAAGCGCGGTGCCGCGCCTAAACAGCAAAAGAGTTATTTATTTTAAAATTTATTTTTGTATCTCAAAAATGATGTAAAGTTTTTAATATGACGAAGAATTAAAGCTATTTCCGTACAGCCTAAGTGCTAAGCATGCTCGTTAGAAAAACTATGAACAATGAACATAACATGCTAGCTTTCTTTATTTTGTAAGTCGCGTCGGCTGACATCTTGGGTTGTACTGGATGTAACATGTTTATTATCGGATGTCTACTTATATTTATTATGATATCATTATTCATTGTTATGGCAATAAAATTTAAATTTTGTTTTACTTAAATTTTGTTTTACTTACTTACTATGCTATTATTATTATTATCTATATTATCATTAGAAGTATAGTGAGATTCGAATTTTTAAGATCACGGTCATTGCTCTTTTTGATCTGAACGACTAATAGTGCTATGAAAATAACAAACTTTGACACAAACTTAAAGCCTGTGCCCTGTTTATTGATTTATTGAATTGTCATTTTTACTCAGATTGAATCAATATTATTTTGATACTTGTACCATATAATTGTGTTATTTTTTTCCCTGCTCTTGCCGAAGGCAAAAAGATCGTAGGGAATAAGTAATCGGGTTTGGATATATGAGGTGGCCCGACGGTCCTGCGATGTCGACAAAAGTCTGCTCCTTCGCAATATAGACCACTCCCCTATAATTATGAGTATAGGAAGCGTCTGTTATACTGCGCGCGACGCTCGGCATGTGTTAGTTAATTGCAGTATCCAACGCGAATTTCAACTGTCAAACGATGCCGTTCAAATTAAATTAGCCCAAAACTTGTGCGCGGCGTACTAAATCCTGCACGCGCGTAATGAAAAATTACGATGAAAAATTACGATGAAAATATTGCAAGTTTTTAACAACAAAATAATCCAATATCTAATTTTTATTAATCGATAAAATTAACTTTTCGTTGCAAATATTAACGGTTTAAGCAGGGAAAATTAATCGTGGGTGGTGTAACCGCGGCGAAATTCTTGTTAGTTATATTTTTGAGTGTGTCTAACCTTACAGTCAATAACCATTACTGAATTTATTTGTTTGTATTTTTTGTATGAATTTTGCATGTCTTTGCTCTTGTAGATTTTTACATTGTTGCTTCCTTGTGTGTTTGTTGACCAGACGTAACCTAGCTCGAACACAGACCAGGGCAAGCCCGACTTTCCATTCTAGAATTGTCTGGGTTGAAACGAAGTTAACCCTTTCCTGGATCATCAGCCAACAAGATCCACGGACATGGGACCCTTTACTTTGCTAGGAAATAATCTTCAGGGAAACAAAAGCAGTAGGCAGGCTCTTTTTCATCTCACATAAAGTCCACAAAGTCGTATCGAGGCACATCTAGTATAAGTCAGCTACGCTACAGCACAGTGTGGTTTCATAGAAGTTTGCCTGTTGGCGCCCCCGCCGAAAATGCTCCCCCCTGTTGGCGCCCCCTCCCATTTTGTGGCCCCTCCCTGAAATTAAACAAAGCAGGTAAAATCTTTAAAAAAGTGTGTTTCTAGAGCAAAACACGCAGTTTCGATAGTACCTCAGTTAAGTTCTTCTAAATTGTCCCACATTCAAACGACGATTTTGTGCCCCCCTAAGATGGCACCCCCCCCCCCCCCCCCCGGCCCCCGCACAGCGGGTTCAGTGCAGCGGGGCCCTTCATTAGGCCACTGGCTTAGGATGCAACTCCATATATTGTGGAGTATCTAGATTCTAGGGACTAGGTATCTGTGTAATGTCTCCTCGGTCAACTCAGCTGTTGAGGGCTCTGTCGAAATATCAACACTCCTTCAGTACAGTACATCTACATTGTAATGTACAGTAAACATAGTTCTGTACTATAATTTATTTTATGAGCAATCTGGTTGTTAACCAAGGATTCTAGCAAACAAAATATCTGTGGATCATGATAGTAATCTTCATTTAAAGGGGACTATAATAGTTAAATTACCAGATACATTGAAATTTATCAATTTAAAATCTACGATCTATCTATCAAATGTGTTACGAATATTCAATTAATTCTTATAATTGTTATTTTACCAACCAATGTAAATTATATATCCAAGAAGCACAAAATGACAGCTTTAGAACAACCCTGCTCTGTTCTCATCAACATCAACTTATCAGAAACACCCTCAGAACAGTCACTTAAACAGGATTTTGAAAATGGTGAGTGTATCTGCTTGTTTATTTTAATTTTAACAAATATAGGTCAGGGAAGATCTGATAAATTCATTGAAATTGAAATTCATTGCCCTAAAATTGCTGTTTTTGAAGACATAAAAAACAAAAGCAGTGCGAAAAGTTGTATTTTAATTACTTTACTAAGCTATTGAAATCTCAGGATCCACTGCAGTGAAGATCCAAGCTCTAAAGAATGCGATCATAATGATGCAGGCAGGCGAGAAGATGCCTGGACTATTGATGCACATTATCCGGTATGTTCTGCCAGAACAGGATCACACCATCAAGAAGCTGATGTTCATCTTTTGGGAGATTGTGCCAAAACGGGATGCAGCTGGTAAACTCCTTACTGAAATGATTCTAGTGTGTGATGCTTACAGGAAGGTAAGTTGAACAGCTTTTATGGACAATCCAAAATCCTTCCTCTAGAACAGTTTCATGATCATTTTTAAATTATAGCGTTTGCTAAATTAAAGCTAATTTAGCTATATTGAAAACCAACAATCCCTCTAGGATCTTATCCACCCAAATGAGTTTATCAGAGGATCTACACTTCGTTTCCTCTGCAAAGTCCGGGAACCCGAACTGCTGGAACCTCTCATGCCCTCTATCCGAGCGTGTCTCGAAAACAAATACTCTTATGTTAGGAGAAACGCTGTTCTTGCTCTCTACACCATTTATAGGAACTTTGAGGTAGTTTTCTTATCTTTGGAGTTGTTTTCTGTAACCGCAATGAAGACTCTATTATTTGTTAGGACTGTGATATTGATCTGTTCTAAAACTATAGAAAGGATTTTATGACAATTTCTTTCCAAATTCTAAAATCTTATAAATTTGTAAATGTCCAGTTACTTATCATCCTACTATTCGTACGTATACCAATTCCAGGATGTTTTCTAATCTGCAAATATTTCAGTTCCTTGTCCCAGACGCCCCAGAGTTGATACAAGGTTACTTGGAGGGAGAACAGGATCCCTCTTGTAAACGTAACGCGTTCATCATGTTGATCCACACAGATCAGCAGCGTGCTCTTACTTACCTTCAATCCTGCATTGATGAGATTAGCACCTTCGGTTTGTAACTAATTAAATTGTAACTTATTAAATTGTAACTAATTAAATTGTAACTAATTAAATTGTAACTAATTAGATTGTAACTTATTAAATTGTAACTAATTAAATTGTAACTAATTAAATTGTAACTAATTAGATTGTAACTTATTTTAAATTGTAACTTATTAAATTGTAACTTATTAAATTGCACTTAATAAGTAACAGATTTTGATATGTTTTTTACACACATATTAATGATAATAATGACAAATCAACAAATTCTAATAATAATGACAAATCACAAGCTCTGAATAACAGTTCCAAACTATTTCCATTTTAAATCCCCCGTCTTCTGACAGGCGACATCCTGCAACTGGTTATAGTTGAGTTGATATACAAGGTTTGCCAAGCTAAACCAACTGAGAGAGCCAAGTTTATCAGGACAGTGTACAACTTGCTGGGTAGCAGCTCTGCCAGTGTCAGGTGACTTATAAATCTATAAATAGAAAATATAAACTTATGTGTGTTATTAAATCTTTTTCGTACGATGAGCCCATGCAATTTTTACCGGATTGATATGCTTGACTTTTTCCTTGAAACTTCTATGACGGAAGTTGTGACTGCCTCCACATTTAGAATGTACATGTTTCTATACATCATGTATAGTGTATACTGTAAACTGTAAACTGTAAGCTGTAAACTGTATACTGTAAAGTATACATGACATCTCCATTTATTCTGTTCCCTATCGCAGATACGAAGCAGCAGGAACTCTAGTGACCCTATCGTCTACCCCCACTGCAGTTAAAGCAGCAGCTAAGTGCTATGTAGAGCTGATAGTACATGAGAGTGATAACAATGTGAAGCTGGTTGTGCTGGATAAACTGGTGAAACTTCAGAAGGATCACTCACACGATCTTACTTTACAGGTACAGTGTACAATGTACATCACTCATGTACTTTACAGGTACACAACCACCATGCCCATGTTAACTTACTTCTTTTTAAAGTATTAATTAAATAACTTAATAAACTCACTGTTTTACCAACCTGAATGTGCTAAAATCTCACTGACCCGCAGCAAGAACTGTCAATGGACGTGTTACGCATCCTGGGCTCTACTGATATAGAGGTACGACGTAAAACACTGGATTTCCTCATGTCTCTTATCTCACTGAGGAATGTTAAGGATGTGGTCTCTCTTCTCAAGAAGGAGGTTATCAAAACTTATTCTAACACTGATAAAGATCGTGAGTTTTACTAATTAATACTTAGTTTAATTTTATATTCATTATAAAGGCAATCAGATTTAAATTTTTTTCCCTTGAATTTTGTGGGTTTTTTGTAGACGTACTATCTGTTAATATAAGAGGTTATAATCATGCTTCAATGTGTTTATCAGTAATCAGTATTCAGTATTTCGGTGTGGTCCATGTTATACTGTATTGGACTGGAAATTAAGTGTAAAAAACAATAATCATAATATTTATATTATAATCTTATCTCAATCCTCCTCACAGAAAACACCAAGACATACCAGCAGTTACTGGTAAAGGCTCTGCACCAGTGTGGAGTCAAGTTCCCCATCACTGCTGAGATTGTTGTTCCTGTTCTTATGGACTTCCTGGCTGAGGGAAATGAGGTTTGGACATTTTTCACGTTATTTAATAATTTCACTTTTGACTTTTTATGTCTTGACCGAGAATGATGATAAAATATAATAAAGAAAATATAATTTATAACCAACATTAAACTAAAGACTAAAAGGGCACTCTATTAACAGTTTTTGACTGATTTGAATGTCCTGCAGTCTGCACAGCAGATTGAAGTGTCTTTATATTATTTACTATTTATATTGTGTTACTGTGTAAATTTGATTATAAAACTGCTACTGTGTTGATGCTCTTGGACTTGAGTGCAGCCTTTGATACTGTGGATCATAATTTGTTACTCCGTATCTTGAGGCAAGAAATTGGAATCAGAGGAACTGCTCTTAGCTGGTTCACCAGCTTCCTTAAAGGACGATGTCAGCGTATTAGACTCGGCAAATCCGTCTCAGAAACAATAACTATCCGATTTGGAGTACCTCAGGGCTCTGTTTTAGGCCCAGTACTCTTTAACATCTATATCAGATCGTTATACAGATGTGTCAAAGAATCCAGTTTCTCCATTATTGGTTATGCAGATGATCATCAAATCATGAAATCTTTCAAACCCTCTGATCAGGTCAAAATCTTATCCAACCAACTGAGAAATTGCTTCTTGAGTATAAAGAATTGGATGTCTCAGTACTATCTGCAACTAAATGATTCTAAAACACAACTCATAGTTTTTGGACCTAAGAAAGTGCTCAATGAGATAGAACTTCATGGGGTTGAGATAGCTCCTAACACTTTGGTAATGTTTGTGCCTACTGTTAAGAACCTTGGATTAGTTATGGACAATCGGCTGGTATTTGATAAACAGATCGTAAATCTCAAGAAGAAATGTTTTCATACATTACGTAATATCAGAAAGATCAGATTTCTACTGAGTCCCAATCAGATTAAGATCATCGTGAACAGTCTAGTAGTGTCATGTCTAGATTACTGTAACGGTTTGTACTTTGGTATTGGCGAGAAGCTTCTGCATCAGCTCCAGTTACTTCAGAATGCTGCTGCAAAAGCTGTCACTGGTAAATATAAACATGACCATCTTGATGATGACCTGATAAAGCTTCACTGGTTAGATGTAAAGAAAAGAATTGTCTTCAAAATCTTACTACTGTCTCACAAGTCACTGTTAGGATTGACACCAAATTATCTACAAGACATGTTCAAGTATGCTCATCATGGTCACTCATTGAAGCTTATTGTTCCTTCTTGTAATTCAAAGTTTGGTGAGCGTAGCTTCTCTGTAGTGGCTCCAAAGATCTACAATCGTCTGCCTGTTACCATCACCTCAGCTCAATCTTTGGAATGTTTTAAAGCTTTTCTTAAAACGTACCTTTTCAAACTGTCCCCAGATGAACTTGAAAAACTTTATCGATAACTATTCTGGTCATACTTTATATTCGGTCTTTGCATAATAAATTTAATTACCGTTTTCGGGCTTTAGTATTGACGTTATATTTTCAAGCATAAGTTATCTTTTAGCTCAGTATTCATGATATTTTCTGGGATGATTAGTTCAAACACTGCTGAGTGTAAGTTTTATCTTAAAAGCGGTGTTATTAAATTTCAATTTATTATTATTATAACTCTAATTCTAATAATCCCCTAGAAAGCAGCTGAAAGTGTGTTAGAGTTTGTTAGAGAAGCTGTAGCCAGGTTTGAGAACCTGCAACCCAGTATCATAGAGAAACTTCTCAACTCTCTTCCCTCTATTAAATCTATATCTGTTCTTCACGTGAGTTAAGTTTGTATTATTTGTGTTTAGCTGTGTCATAACTGATCACGACCTTATAAAAATAAAACTATTTTCTAATTTTTACATTTGTAAACAAGTTAAGGTTTAAAGCAGGGACAAAAGGATTTCGCGGCATGTACGAAACCGCGAAATTTCCCTTTCTCCGCGACAAATCGCGATTTTTTATGTTTTCCGCGACAGACCGCGAAATCTCCCATTCTCCGCGACAAATCGCGATTTTTTCAGTTTTTCGCGAAAAATCGCGCATTTTCCTTTAAATCTGAAGACCAAATTTGTGCATTATCTTTTAAATCTGGGGACCAAATTTGCGCATTTTCCTTAAAATCTGAGGACCAAGTTTGCGTATTTTCCATAAAATCTGCGGGCCAAATGTCACGTTTTCTACAAGTATATGAAACCAATCACATTTTCAGCCTTCCGTGAGTTCTGATTGTAGGTACATTCTCGATACATATAACATAAGAACATACCTCTGAAAGTGAAGGCGGAGCTCCCGCTTCCGAGCTCATATTGCGAAAGGCCAGGGAGGCCTGCCTTCCGAGATCGCATTACAAGGGGAGCCCTCGAGTCCAATATCGTGTATCGAAGGGTATGTGTGACCTTTGAAAAACGAAAAAATTTTTTCGGCTCATAATGATCAGGGTAGCATGAAACATGAACAAAAGTAGTTTCCAGAAAAACTTTGAAAAAATTTTGACTTAGAAAATTTTCGGTCCGAGTCATTCTCGATACATACTTCTGAAGGCGGATCTCCCGCTTCCGAGCTCATATTGCGAAGGGGAGGCCTACCTTCTGAGATCGCATTACAAGGGGAGCCCTCGAGTCCAAAATCGTGTATCGAAGGGTATGTGTGACTTTTGAAAACCGAAAAAATATTTTTGGCTCATAATGATCAGGGTAGCATGAAACATGAACAAAAGTAGTTTCCAGAAAAACTTTGAAAAAATTTTGACTTAGAAAATTTTCGGTCGGAGTCATTCTCGATACATACATCTGAAGGCGGATCTCCCGCTTCCGAGCTCATATTGCGAAGGGGAGGCCTGCCTTCTGAGATCGCATTACAAGGGGAGCCCTCGAGTCCAATATCGTGTATCGAAGGGTATGTGTGACTTTTGAAAACCGAAAAAATATTTTTGGCTCATAATGATCAGGGTAGCATGAAACATGAACAAAAGTAGTTTCCAGAAAAACTTTGAAAAAATTTTGACTTAGAAAATTTTCTGTCCGAGTCATTCTCGATACGTACATCTGAAGGCGGAGCTCCCGCTTCCGAGCTCGTATTGCGAAGGGGAGGTCTGACTTCCGAGATCGTATATGGAAGTTGACCAGTAGACATATAAAACTTGACCAGACGACATAAAGTTGACCAGTAGACATATAAAACTTGACCAGACGACATAAAGTTGACCAAACGACATATAAAACTTGACCAAACGACATAAAGTTGACCAGACGACATAAAGTTGACCAGTAGACATACAAAACTTGACCAAACGACATAAAGTTGACCAGAAGACATACAATGGATTAGGAAATCGAACAGTAGGTTAAATCAGTGTTGTTATTGAATCGTCACTTGTCAGATATTTCGTCATCGATAACGTCATCGTTATTTGCTTGGTATTGTAAGTGACGTGCAGCCGATGTCTTTTCTTATGTTTCTCTAGACTGTTAGGGCTTCTGTCCGGATGGTTGTGGGGCCCGTTGAAACTTAGAAGAAGACTTCTGTTCTTGTCTGTGGTAATGGTGGCAGGACAATTTCCATTCCTCGCGTGGTATTGGTTACATCTGTAACTGATGTTGTTTTTCAGCTCCGATCGTTGCTGAAACAGGTTGTCTTCGTGAACAACCATGGGCTTACCACGGGATGTGGTTAAAACTTCAAGAAGGTTCGTGCAAGGGACTGGGGAAAGGATGTCGTCAAGGTTTATATAAGCTTCGAGGGGTAGAGGTTCGATGCTAGGTAGGGATAGAGGAATAGGATTGAGAAGGTCGTAGTATTCCATTGCTATCGTTGTGAATTGCAGATGGTCGAATGATGATGTCTCCTGTCGTCTGTTGAAAGTTATATAGTATTGATAACGAGATTCGTCATACAGTACGTATGACATTGCAACATTTGAGATCATGTCAAAGTTATGGTAGCTCTCGTAACTCGTTGTTATGGACCCCCATCAGCCTGTATCACATCATATGATGAGATCACATCCTCATGGGACATGAGCCGATCAAATAGAATAGTCAAAGAATATGTGAACTCTAACTAAGCACTGTAAATACATTATTTTTTGCCGCGAATTCGCCGCGATTTTTCGATTTGTTGCCGCGAATATGCCGCGATTTTCGGAATTCCCGCCGCGAAATAGCCGCGAATTAGCCTAGTTTGGCTTGTCGCGGTGCCGCGATTTTTGGCCAAAATTACCGCGAAATCCTTTTGTCCCTGGTTTAAAGTAAAAGTATAAATTAAGCGCAGGTAACGTAATTAAGAGTCTCAAGTTAACCCCTCTCTGTCAGGCTGGATTATGGATCCTGGGAGAGTACTGTACTTCTGAGTCTCAGATCCGTAACATGGTGGATGCAGTGTTGGAGAGTATTGGGGACCTGCCTATTGTTGATACTGAAATCAGAGAGGTACAGGAATTTTTAAATCATTTTAGAACACAACTTAAGTTTTGTTCTGCTCCATCAATCATCCTTCTTTTTCTACTAAAATGCCTACTAAAATATGAAAGTTCGAATTGTTCTTGCTACTGGTCTATACTCTATAGCTATGTAAATACTGAATGTCAACTGTGATACAGTCTCTAAACATACTCTAACCACACTCTGACACTCACACTTTACCAGAGCACAAAAGACGACACTGATAGCGGTACTACCACTACCGTAGTATCAAGCTCACGCGTTACAGCTGACGGAACCTACGCCACCCAATCAGCGGTTACCGTGGTAACCAATCACAGCGATGATAAACCACAACTTCGGAGTAACCTGCTAGAGGGAGAGTTCTTCTTGGGGGCAGCCCTCGCTACAGCGCTCACTAAACTTTCTCTCAGATACCAGGAGGTAAGATTGTACCTAGCTGGTACAGTGTAGATTGTGGGACTATATTAAAATAGTTTGAAACTGTGAAACTTATCTTTTTCTTGAGGAGTTGCTGTGTAGTATCTCCAATCCGAGACTACTAAATGTTATAAACAAGATATTATCTGACAGATAACCTAACTGTTACACCCCGCCCCCCCCCCTTCCCCCCCCCCCCCCATGCCCCTGTGATTGTTAAACATTCTCTGTACAGGTATGTGTGGACCTGAGAGCTCGCAACAAGCTCACAGCACAGTCCATGTTGATCCTGGCTTCTATCATGCACCTTGGAAAGAGTAGTCTCCCTAAGAAACCCATCAGTGATGATGACGTAGACTGGCTTAGCTTGTGTATAAGGGTTCTCAATGACAGGTTTATCTTGGTTATTTTTAATTTGTTATTTTGAAACTAATAATAATAATAAATTGAAATTTATTTAGTGTTTAAACTAGTCATCCCAGAAAATAAAATGAATACTAAGTTTAGAATTTAAGTAACTTATGCTCGAAAACATATCGTCAATACTGAAGCCAGAAAAAATGGTACTTGAACATATTATGCAAAGATCAAACACCAGATAAGACAAACACAGTTATCGAAACTGTGTGTAACTGTCTTGTTATTCAACTTCAGGTTTCTGTAATATTAACTTAATGAACTAGCAATAAAATGTGCGTGCTATGACCTAATATGACCCTCACACCGTATTCCTTCAGGTCGCCTATTCTCGTATCAATCTTCACTCGTGCTTGTAGACAATCTCTACAAGACATGATCGGAACTATAGACCTCACTAAACTGGCTTTATCTGAAGCTGAGAAGGATATTGTTAAAACTGATGTTGATGCTCTTATCAACTTCTCCCATATTCTGAGGTAACTGCTGTTAAGTTTCCCCCTTAATATTTAGACCTTATTGACGTATATCAGTTAGTATACCGGAATTACCTGCTACTATTTGGTGCAACCAAATAAATTATAAGCCTCTGAAGATCTACAATAAAATATGGAGATATATATTGTGAGAATATGAAGGTTAAAATGGAAGATAACAATATTTCCCCCTAATTTCAGCAATGTTAATGACGGACAAGCAGTGGATGAACTGGAGTTGTCGCTCCTTCAAGCAACAGAGGGCTCCAAGAAGAAGGATACAGACGTTTCTACTACTGCTTTAAGCAAAGTAAATTACAATTTAGCAACTTTATTTATTCCCTTTGGTGCTTAATGTCTATATGCTTGTTTGCTTACGACATAGTGTCACTTATTCTTCTGATTGTTAATAGAGATACGAATAGTGAAATGGTGATACTCCTTTTCAGAGTTTCAGTTTATATTTAGAAACTAACCATACTATCTTTTAGATTTATGTCACTCATGATGGCTCCGGCTGAAAGTACTATGACTCATTTTATTTAGAAGATCGTAGTTTCATTGCTTCTGAAGTACCTATCAGTTCGCCGGTCAATGTTGGGTATAATACTCTGGTGATAACTCCATTCTTAACTATTCCCTTTTCAGGTATATCAGTTGACTGGGTTCTCTGATCCTATATACGCTGAAGCGTACATCAACGTGAACCAATACGACATAGTATTAGATGTACTGGTAGTTAACCAGACCCCTGACACCTTACAAAACCTTACATTAGAACTCGCTACACTCGGTGATCTTAAACTTGTGGATAAACCATCTCCTATCACTCTTGCTGGCAACGACTTTTGTAACACTAAAGCGCAGGTTAGTTTGGATCTATGCTTAGAAATATGCTGCAGTTTCCTTTAACATAGAGAAACAATCGTCCAGAGATGTCTCAAAAACTATCAAAATTGTCCTTCTGGTGGTCTCTAATAAATATCTCGCTTTTGTAACGCGCAGTGACAGAAACACTTACATTTCACTCTACTACGTGGAGCGCGCACAACATTTCATTATTGTGGCTTTGTAGATTTAAATAAATCTATTCTCAGGTCAAAGTTGCATCAACTGAGACGGGTATAATATTCGGAAATATCGTATATGATGTGTCAGGAGTCAGCGGAGACAAGAGCTGTGTTGTTCTGAACGATATTCACATCGACATCATGGATTACATCGTACCTGCTACTTGCACTGATACCGGTTAGTTTATAGAAGATAAATCTTCTATCATGGTGCCTTTAAATAGGTTCCGTTATCATACGAAATTAGACTATGGGAAGTGGGAGTTGAACTATGATTCCGCAAGATCCTTTCAGAATTTTTTTGTATGGAGTGAACTTATCTTCTAAAATAACTTTTTGGTCATTGCTCTGTGTAAGGTCATTGCTAATATTAGAACACCTATAAATTAAAGCGAAAAAATGTAGAATGTGTTTTGTGATTCTGGAAAGATCTCTCTCAAAGCAAAATACGAATATATCTGAAATTTCAATGTTCTTCAATGGATATAATGGAATATTTGAACAATTCAGTATAATAAAGCCGTTTAAAGAAATGTTCCAGTTTTTAAGCTTTCTTCTAATTGTTCCTAATTGGATCTACATACAACTCGTGATGTCCCTTCTCTGAAAGCTAACAGCTTGAAGTTATTCCAACGACAACTGAAGCAATCTCGAGGTCGATACCATTTCCAGATTTATTTTCCTTGTGGATTGTCTGATGGGATATCATTCTCCCCACATCTGCAACTAATAATTCCCATTACAAACACTCTGAAACCCTCATTAAAATAACAGTACGCCAGCGGTGACAGTGTCATATCAATAGTGATCATGTAGTTTATAACACGGTACCAAGTGTAGTGTTTCTGTTTTGACACCACAGCGTATATTGTTACTGGAAGCCAGGAGATTATCAGGAGGATGGACAGACAGATAATCATTATCAGTGTGGTCTTGTGGACTACTTTAGCGTTTTTTAGTACGATCAGTATAAGTCCTATGTTACAAATGATGGTGAGGAGGAGAGGAAGGGCTGCGTAGAGCAGGAAGTTTACTTTATCTATCTTCATCCAGAGTTTATTGCCCATTCTGTTCGGCATATGGCATCTGAAAAAATATTACACTTAACTGTACTAAGTCGAATAAAATATACGATAAATTTGATGGGATGTTAAACGGTTGCTCTACCTGTTTATACTGGTATCGAACTGGTAACCTCTGTCTAAAACATAGTTCTCCACAGTAGGGAAACAGGAAAGTAACCATACTCCAACCATGATAACAATCCCTGATCGCTTGCTGGGGAAATGTTCGTTAGGGAATTGGGGATATAAAATCTAATTTTTGATCTGTTCAGCCCTGCTTTGTAAAATTTTTCTATCAAAGTACCTGAGTGTACAATAAAGTACCTGAGTGTACAATAAAGTACCTGAGTGTACAATAAAGTACCTGAGTGTACAATAAAGTACCTGAGTGTACAATAAAGTACCTGAGTGTACAATAAAGTACCTGAGTGTACAATAAAGTACCTGAGTGTACAATAAAGTACCTGAGTGTACAATAAAGTACCTGAGTGTACAGTAAAGTACCTGAGTGTGCAATAAAGTACCTGAGTGTACAATAAAGTACCTGAGTGTACAATAAAGTACCTGATTGTACAGTAAAGTACCTGAGTGTACAATAAAGTACCTGAGTATATAATTAAGTACCTGAGTATACAATAAAGTACCTGAGTGTACAATAAAGTACCTGAGTGTACAGTAAAGTACCTGAGTGTACAGTAAAGTACCTGAGTGTACAATAAAGTACTACATGAGTATATAATTAAGTACCTGAGTGTGCAGTAAAGTACCTGAGTATATAATAAAGAGCCTTGAGCGGGAACATGCACCTCAGTATTTTATTCAGTGAGAGGAGCGTCAGAGAGAACAGGTGTACTATAGCGTACCAACTAGCAGAGTTACTGGACAAACTGCACAGTATCCTACCAAACAGCCACCTGCAGTATTTTTAGAAATCGATCAAATGTTCAACCGTCGTGAGTTCATTTTAGCACCCCTTATATGGGCACCACGTGACGGGAGTTCAATTTCGTGATTTTAAGTATGTGTTTAAATCAGGATCCTGGCCAGTGTCCAACCTCTGAAAGTGTACGAGCTCTGAGATTTTGACATATAAAATCCCGATCTCTTACCTGTTAGTGAAGTTGCTTGATACTGAAGGAAGAACCACTGTTAGAATATAAAGCAGATCAGAGATTGACATGTTAACTATGAACCAGAGTGAAGTTTTGTCTATCTTGAAGTGTTTCAAATGAACTGCAGTGATAAGTAGGATGTTTCCAACTCCCCCTACAAGCACTGTTACTAGGCTCCAGCTACCCAGGAGGTAACGCTCCAGGTCACTCAGCGTACCGACTTCCTTAGACATCCTGATAATTGTTATGTGGATCATATATAAGCGACTCTAAAATAATAAAGATGAATTCATAGTATAATTGATTGGATTGAAGAAAACAATTCTGATAATAGCAGAAAGTTATTTATCAACTGTGTACTTAAAATAGCACAGATCAGCTGGACATCGCGCAAACAATCTGAAAAAAATTCCTGCTTTAAGTTACGCGCCATGGGCGCTAATCTTGCAAATGTTTTCTCTACTAAGTGATAACAGCTGTTGGTGGATTGTATCTCTCACCATCATTGATGAATTTATCCACCTGTTATGTTTTGTTAATGAGGCCTTAGGTATCACCACGTATAGTACCATTTTAACACTGGCATCATTCTTTTTAAAAATAATAACATACAAATACGTTTTGTGCTGTACTAGAAGACCCGTGGTCACATGGAGGAAGTTAATAATATTTTTTTATAGTCAGTTTAAAAAAAATCCGAATTATACTATTATAGATAAGTACTGTATCAGTTTGTAGATTATATATTCGCATATATCCACACTATTTACACGTAGAACGTGATATTATTATCAATGCAGTGTGTACAACACCAACTAAACCGATCAATTGCCAAGCTGCGAAACATTTATTATTCAGAGTTAATTTTTTTCAGAGTTTATCATCATCTATAGACAGCATGAGAGTAGGCCCTGCTATCTCGATGTTATAATAAGTACTGCAGTAGAAGTATATTTAAAACCATCGGCGAAGCAAACGTTGTGGCTGTATTGTAGTATCAGGCCATTGAAATTACTGCTAAGGTATATTATGAAGAATTATGTATGATAAATAATACTTAATTACTGAAGACGAGCATGATTAATAAAGGCGTGGACTCGGTAGTTGCTAAAACGGGGCACCGACTACAAATTACAAGCGATTAGGCGCGTTAACATAAAGGGTAGAGCGTCATACTGCTCACTGCACTATACTATTATACGAGGCGAGGCGAGTATGTGAGGCTTATCGGTTACTTATTGAACTTAGTTAATTGTTTTATACACAGCTGCCTGCAAATAACAAAAATGGTTTGTAGGTGACCAGTGTCATTATTCCGCTGATCACCTGATTCGTCCACACGCCCATTCTAGTCCTCAGGTGCAACTAATCCGATTCTGAAGCTTGCTCAAACGACGCAGAAGTTATTTATTAACATATTATATATTAAACTGTTGGACAGACGCAAAATGTTCGCAGGGAACATATTATTTCATGTTATGGAACAACACATTGGCAAAAGATGATATAATGAACATTAAGAGTCATTATATGGGACATTAGAGGGGCACTGTATAGTGATTTTTTTTAGAGGTTCGCCAGGTAATTATTGCGGTAATAGTACTCCTATTATATATATCAGACAAGTAAAGGATTTGTTGTCTATTTTTTGCGATCATGAGCATTTCTATAGATTTCTTATTCTTCTCTTTTATTTCCGAGAAGTGTATCCAATAATTTAATTATCAGCTGTCCTTGAAAAATATCTACATGCTTACATGCTTAGCATCTTAGAGTTAGAGGGCAAAAACATGTTTGTAACACAAACTGTTCGGAAAGTGCAAATTATATGAGATAGTGGCACATCAATCTTCTCATTTCCCCGTCTACGCTTTTATGTTAGACGTAACAACTAAAACTAGTAACAGAGCATCGTGGAATTTGCTAATGTTATGTACTAAAGTAAGGGACCTAAACTCTCATTGGTCCGTTTTACTCACCTGTTTTGTAAGTGAGCCATTATGTTGAGCCACGTGCTTTTCTAAAACTGGTTTTATTTTACTTTGTGGCATTAGTATTATAGGTGCTATCAATATTTTCAATTTAAATAGTTTACTAATTCATCAACCTATAACAGTAAAATATTATAGTTATATCAGGATAATGAGCGGTAAGTTATTTAGGTATAGCTACATAGTAGATAATACGGGCGATGACAAAAAATGGAACTTTTTTCAAATCCTTTTTTGTGATCACCCATTATGGCTTACATAATTGATAATATGGCCAACATAAGGTCACCGGGACCGAAAATTATAATAGTAATTTAGGAAAGGAAGGAAGCAGTAATAAACTTTAACATTACTAAATTTTGAAAGAAATGCCCCCTTGCATTATACCAAAAGTAAAGATTGAAAAAACGTATATGAAATGAAAATATTAACTTTAAGATAGTAAGCTTTATAGAACAAGTTAAGCAAACCCGTTACTAGTAGGTAAACATTGAAGAAGGAAAGATTTAGTCTGTGTTTTATTTCGTTATCTGGTCTCAGAGTGGACAAATTAAACAATTAATCCACCAAAAATGTTTACCAGTACAATTCTTCCAGTCGACAGTGCTCGAATATCAGTGGTAAAAATTCGACCACCGCCAATACTAAATTCAACACCTCAAACTATCTGGTTAGAGAGCCTATGTATTATGTAAAATGTATTAATGCATTATGTACAATTCTTCGTTCCAAAGATTGTACGCCGAACCATTCCGATCCACACAACTCAATTTTGAAGACCCTAAATCAGACACTTTTTTCCAAAATCTGCTGGGATTTATAGTTTCATTTAAACATTTCAAGGCCGTTTGCGCAAGAAATTCTTGAAATGTTTATAATTACTTATTTAGATATATCTCTCTTATATCGCTCTTATATATAATAGCCTCTAATCCTACCAAGCAGCCAGCCTTATGCAAATCCACACCAACCCTCTCGCCAGATATCTTGGTTAAAAGTAATAGATGAATGCATCTCTAAGAGTATTATAGGGGGTAGAGGGGTCCGGGGAATAGGGGGGGGGGGGGGGTTTGGAGTGAGCATGGGGGAGAATTTGTGTAATTTTAATAATAATAAATCAAAATAAATAAACTACTTACAGAAACTTTTAAATTGCCGGATTTCCCACCGACAGTACGGAATCTCTACTTTACTTCCTTTACTCCAGATCCACATAGCTTGATGGGAGATATTCGCAACGTGTCTGCAATAAGATAGTTGTAGTAAGGGACCGTTCACATATTACATAATCAGTTTTTGCTCCTCCGTAATCGATTATAATAACCTTGTTCAATTTAATTTGAGATTTAATAGTGAAACACAAGGATCACATCTTAAAATACATGGGAATCTTGGAAAATAAGTATTTCTTCATAGCCATTAGTACTGGCTATAAAAAAATACTGACACTGAAATAAATCACTTACTTTTTCCACTTTCCACCTCCGCTGATCGCTATTACTTTCGCATAACCCCAATTGCCTTGTTTGTTTCTGCCTCCAAAGTCCAATTTCATCCAGCCCTGCTCCAACACTGCAGAACATCTCCAGGCTCCATTTGTAACTACCACATCTTCTCCGTCTTCATTTGTCAGTGAGGCTAGTATACCAGCAGTGAACGATTTTGTCGGATGAGGAGCGTTGTAAGCTCTTATAGCTATGAGACGAGGCATGACAGAAAGTGAGAATACGTCTTCTTCATCCCACTTGTCCTCTTGAACATAAAAAAGGTCATTTAAACAATATATACAATATATACAATATACACAATATACATTCAGTTAAATCAAGTAATGCAATTGGTAGAGCACAATAAAATCAAGTGTTGCAATTCGCAGAGCACAGTACATTATTATAGGTAACAGAAATATTGCTACCAATATTTGTGAACTATAAATAATCACCTTGGACACTGTGTTTGGTATCGTCCACATATAAAGCGGTTATTTTGTCATCTGCAGTTACTCTTAGTTGCAGCTCACCTGAATGGATTAAGGCTACTTGGCTAGGTTAACAGTTAAATTTGTGATCCCACTCTTGCCATTTTAATATAGTTTAACATTAACAGGTTTTAACGGATTTTTGGGTTCAGAAAATAGATAATTTTAGATTTTGGTAAATTAGTGTTATCGCATACCTTGGACCATCGTTGTAATAAGTACGATTACAAGTACGTCAACCAGGAATAGCGCTTTCATGTTCTATACAAAGGTGATCTACAAGTACAAGTTAGTTAGTTTAAAAACGTGTTAGTTAAAAGACGTGTTAGTTAAAAAACGTGTTAGTTAAAAGATGTGTTAGTTAAAAAACGTGTTAGTTAAAAGACGTGTTAGTTAAAACGACATTTAACAAGAAACTCGTGTTAAATTATCTGTTGTAAACCCATTTAGGGATAAGGGATTAAGCATGGCAATTTGAAAACTTTGGCTAGAATACTGAGTTTCGTCTGAATCCCATCTTATTGTAATGATGAATATTCAACCCTTGCCAAAGATATCTCTAAACATATATTAGAGAATCTGATCTTCATGAATTCTAGGCAAATCAAGAATTGGGGAGCAGAGAGAACTGCTATAGGGAGCAAAACTGCTAAAGAGAGAAATACGTGTAAGGGGGAAACGCTTATTTATAATTTCTATTGTCCATCTGTCCTTAACGAAACGAGGATGCGAGATAGCCATGTTTGCTGTGCAATTATATCGACTACGTTACGTCTTTTGTAGCATTATAAATGTGGCTTTATTCTTCGAGTTAGAGAGTCTAAAGAGAGCGTATAGATATGGTTTATTTTCCAAGAGAGATGTTCCCTTGACAGAAACATATTGTCAGGGATATGGGGAGGAGGCATTGAGTAACCGTAGCCGTTAGGTCTAAATAAATGTGTGATAGAATTAGACTTTTAAATACATGCGCGTTAATGGGAGTCCACGTGCAGAGTACTGGCTGTCAAGAAGATATTGTCTTGACATCTCAACTCCCGAGTAAACCCATTCCATAGAATACGAAATCTGTTGAATAATTAAAAAAAACTCTGGTTTGAGAGCCATTATTATGTAAAATTCTTCGTTGCCCAAAGTTGTAGACCCAGCCGGTGGATCACAATTCACAATGAATAGTTATTTTAGACATTTAGACAAGTAGATAATGTTAATCGGGCCCCTAAGAGGAATGGAATGAATGTGTGCGATTTGCATTATGGATCTCGGTGAGGGACTGGTTTTAGTGGCTATTATATGGTTTGAAAAATTCTTGAATCTTGGTACACAGATAAATTAGATCAAGGAAGAAGAAAATAAAGTGGATCCATCAGAAAATCAATAGAGTAGAAAGTCTAGAAGTGTGATGCTGAATTGGAGATGAAGTTTTTAACAGAAATGTTTAAGATTTCAGTCAATTAACTCGTTAGCATGACGTTAACATGGTTAAATTATATTGGCCTGAATACTGATCGCGACCATAAAATACAACAACATTTCAAACAAATCTTAAATTTTTTGACATTCATCAAACTTCGCCGACAGCTAATTGGAATTTGTATTGTGTGTGATTATTAGAGAACGTGCAATTAGGACTTTTTGTGGCCCTGCAAGAGAGTCTCAGAAAGTCCATTACAAAAAATGATTTGATTTGATTTGATTGCTAACGGACTAATACTGAATAGCTTTATAGAATGAAATAAACATTTTCTTGTGTTTGAACTTAGGAAAAGTTCTCTTTATTTTGACTGTACATCCTCATGTAACAGGTTGATCAAGTTGAGAAGGTTTTTACATGAAGTTTATGTAGGTAGATGATAGGGAGTAACCCACTTTGTATTCCAATTAATACGCAAATTCGGCCATTTTATAGCCCATTCAAAGACCGCTGTAAGTTTTGAGAGCCCTAAAAGTATTCAGATATAAGTAGATTAAGCTTGTATATATAATAGGCTTTTAAAACATCGACTTGCGACACTTTATAAGCCTTTCCAAAAGTAATTGTTTTATTGAAATTTTTGTTTCATTGATAACTTCAATTCATTCAGATCTTGTATTTGTACGTGCTTGTAAAATTCATCCTTGTGTTTCATATTGAACAGATATACAATAAAGTTCTAAGTAGTAGTTTATCACATCAGTGAGCAGTATATAATCGATCATTTTTGCTAAATTCCCCCTAATTGGGAACGAATATTATGCGGAGTGAAACCATGTGATCCTAATTGGACTCATGAATTAAATACCCCAATTTACCGTTCACGGTACACTGTACACTGTACAGCCCAATTTACCGTACTATTTTCCTTTCCCCCCTGTGCATGGCAAATCGGGGGTTTACAATTTACTGTATTTCAAGGTTCGACCCAAATTATGTCTGAAACTGATCTAGGCTTTTATATCCATTGACTTGCAACGAGTTAAAAGCCTTTCCAAAAGTAAAATTTTGTTTTCTTAAAATTTTGTTTTCCTGACTATTATGTGCACAGATCCTCGATTTATAAGTCCTTGTAGAAAATATCCTTGTGTTTCGTATTCAACAAACATACACTCGATTTCTGATTAGCAGATTATCGAAGAATGCTGCAGTCATGTCTTTATTCAGATACATAATATCATTATTAATGATTTTTTAATTAATGAATTATGTACTGAGTTTTTTCTACAGCAACTTTTGCCACAACACAATATTTCGATTAACAATATATATTTTGTCAAGCAGCTGCATCCTTGATCCATAAATTGACTTCGACAGGTCATTTATGAAAAGTTTGAATAAGCGCTTGAGAAATGAGAATCGCATGGTGTGTGTGAACTGCTCTCTAGAAGATTTCTTTCATACAGTTTCGGAAGTGCCTAATTTTCTGTCTAACAGTTCTGATTCTCTGGATCTCCAAGGTTTAAATCAGCATATAATAACCATAAAAAGATGTAAAACTGGTCCCTGGCCCAGCGGCTCTATCCTCAGTAACCAACCAGTGACCAGTCCTGATACAATAGTTTTCAAGATAAGTGCGATCGATTAAATCCACTAGGCTGCAAGATACTAGATAGGTTTACTAAGCGTTAAATATTCAGCGAGGTTGAAAGAATCGTTTACGAGGCACCAAACTGTCCAAAATTGTCTTGGGTTCTTGACAAATTCAAGAAATCGTTACGTCAGGGCATGTGGGAAAGTTTTTTTTGCTGCTATGTCATGTTCGTATAAAAGCCTGGCTATGGCTTCACTTGGTTTGATCACTTCACAGTGAGCACATTTCAATGCAGATCTAAAACGGATACACATCGTTTGGTCTTGATTACAGAAGGGGGAGGGGTAAGAATTGCCAAAAAATTGACTATCCTTATTTTGTGAAGGACCCCTAAACTAAAAACTGTCTCCTCAGAGTTCCGGAAGATGTGGGCAGAGTTTGAGTGGGAGAACAAGGTGTCGGTACAGAGCAACATTAACGATATGAACCAGTACCTGGATCACATTCTCAAATGTACTAACATGAAATGTCTCACTCCCAAACAGGTAATTTACTCAGCCCAGCTAAGTTAAACCCCTAGATTTTGATATTTTAGTGTGATTTTATCGCGATTTCGTGCCTTTTACCGCCGTGCTAATATTGTGTTACAAGATGGTATATCACCTAGAAAATTGCTATGCTCGTATGATAGTTACCTAATGTGCGCTAATATTATGGCGGTAAAAACCACTATATTGGTCATAATTTAACCCGCCAAAATATGATGGTAGTATGGTATTGAGTTAATTAATATGGGAAATAATAACACAAAGCTACTCCTGCTCACAATCCTTCCCACCAGGCACTGGAAGGGGACTGCGGGTTCTTAGCCGCTAATCTCTACGCTAAAAGTGTTTTCGGAGAAGACGCTCTTGCCAACATCAGGTATGTTAATTAACTACAAACCTCGACTAGACTTACTCGACTCGACTTTGCGCGGCTTCAACGTCCGAACAGAGATAGTTTTTTTCCAAATCTGTCTATCCAGCATGAGTTTGTTAATCTCCTTGCTGTCGGCAAGCCGCGTGTCCTTCCGAAGGATGTCAATATATGTGAGGTGTGGTCTTCCCCTTCGACGATGTCCTTGAAGGGGTTCCCAGAAGAGAAGTTGATGACTCATAAGTTCTTCATGTCTGGCTAAATGACCTGAGTCTCATCCTCCGTGCAGCTATCTTATCAGATGCTCTGATGAGGTGTCCATACACCTTGGCGTTAGTCTGCCGCTCTTTCCAGTCAATGTTAAGTGCCATCCTCAGCATTCTCGTATAACATCCATCAATACGTTTTGCGAGGGTCTGGCTGACAGTCCAATTTTCAGAGCCATATAGAAGGATGGACTCGACTGTAGCCAGGAACAAACCTCTTTAAAATTAATGTATTAGTTTGAAAGAGAATTTCACCCCGTTGTAACAACACTGTAACAACACTGTAACAACACCTGTAACAACACCTGTAATAACACTGTAGCAACACCTGTAACAACACTGTAACAACACCTGTAACACCACTGTAACAACACTGTCCTACTCTGTATTAACCATGTTTTATTCCCCAGTATTGAGAAGATGTCTGATTCTGGCGCCCTGTCCGGTCATATCCGAATCAGAGCTAAGAGCCAGGGAATGGCACTTTCTCTAGGCGACAAGATTACTCACAGTCAGAAGAAGGAAGCCGGGGCTTAACTTGACGTCATTATATTGGTTTTGAGTGCATGAAGGAAATATGGATTCTAAGAAAATAAACCGTTGATTTCATGAGATTAGTTTATTGAGTTTGACTTAGAAAAACAATCGGGGCAGGTCTTCTTTTATCAAGAAATTTGGACTAGGCGCACCTTTCTGACCCCTCCATGCGTATTCACTGTATTAAGTACGAAAGTTCGTTATTTTTCGTGACCACCGCAGCTTTTAAATGTTGAATGAAGGGGTTCCTTGATAAAATATTTGCTCGTAAACTTGTATCATTTTTAATATGAATATGATAGAATAAATGATTAATGAAATTATGTTTTGATCTGAACCTGCTGTATTCTAAATCTTCTTGTTACTGTCTTTCAAAATTTCAGATATTATGAAAATTGTCTTAGTACTTGAAATCGATTTTAACAGGCGCCAGAAGCATACACAATACACGTTCATGACTCGTGTTAGCCAATCGGATATAACTCAATCCGTGCCATAGATTTGGAAATTTGTTCGAGTGAAAAAGCGAACACTAAACTTATCAGTAAACAGTAAAATTCATCATATTATGTATTAAACGTCGCGGGAATTGCTTGATGGATCATATTCATAATCATTTTCAAAACGAACCTTCACCCCATTTCTATTTTCTTTGTCATGTTTTTGATCAATTTTTTACCCACTTCCGTAGTCAATTTAATTCATAGCTATTGTGCTAAAGTTAAACTAGCGTAATCACTAAGAAACCCCGCCCCCTTTCATGTCTCACTCTCAGTGGTTACCCAGAAAATATTACCGTCTGGTGGGCCTGCTTGTCTTTGTCATACGTTGTATGACCCGCCGTGCACGAGTGCGCGGCTCCCCCTGTATCGTAATCACTTATATTAGTGAAACTACCGTGGGGGTCACGACGTGACACAAGCTTGTCTCACGTCGTGACCCGCATCGTCATTTCATTTAGTCGTCATTTCAATTAAGCCAATCCCAAATCAGAGGACAGGAATCTGTTAAAGGGTGATACTCGTAAAATATTTGTTCCACAAATTATACTATTAGTATTATACTTATAGACCATCGACGAGTCCAACTCGGCGCGTCTTGGTATAGCATATAGACATAGTTCATATAATTATATTTATAACCCTACCAGCAACCAGGAATCTGCAGAGTTAAATGTTAAAGTTTCGAACTTTTATTCGGCCCAAAGTAAAACTTTTTGAGATAACTCAAAATCTTGATTCACGATGTCAATCCTTCGCAGCTCGGTGAGGCACAGTGGTGCATCTCGCCGATCTACCGAGAAGCATTATTTGATGCGCGCGCGACCCAGTAGTGCATCGCGCTACAACTCAAAATCTAGTATATTGTCCCAAATTTTACCGAAAATGTGAACGACCCTGGATGATGATTAATCACTCTACACTCGACTGTCACGTGACTTTTTCTACTCGTTCTCTAGCTGGTCCTGAACGACTATTCGAAACCCTAACCCTCTAATCTGATCCCAACCCTAACCCTAACCCAATCCTTAATAAAAGCATATGCTGAAACCCTAACCCTAATGAGAAATTGGACTAACTTCCTTATATGGTCATATCACGTGATCGAGACCAGTTTTTCGCCAATATCTCGTCAGGGGAGCATTTTAACCCTATGTCATAGGGGGTGATTCGGAATCAGTGTCCGAAAATACATCGATTGAAGTTGGTTTCAACTGTCGGGGGCCCTTTTAGAACAATCTCGAAGATCGACTGTAGAGTGATTTAGCACGCTCGCTTATTACTTGCTTATTTGCTCTATCCAGAGCCCTTGCGCTTGCAGTAGCGCGCGCCCGCCTCACGGCGCGCCCGAGGTTCCAATTAGAATTAGACCTCTCCATGGAAACACAGTATTCCAGTATATTTATTTCTAGTTCCTGGCATCCAATAATTTAATTTCATTCCCCTTGATGGTTCCAATTAGAATGAGACCTCTCCATGGAAACACAGTATTCCAGTATATTTATTTCTAGTTCCTGGCATCCAATAATTTAATTTCATTCCCCTTGATGGTTCCAATTAGAATGAGACCTCTCCATGGAAACACAGTATTCCAGTATATTTATTTCTAGTTCCTGGCATCCAATATTTAATTTCATTCCCCTTGATGGTTCCAATTAGAATTAGACCTCTCCATGGAAACACAGTATTCCAGTATATTTATTTCTAGTTCCTGGCATCCAATATTTAATTTCATTCCCCTTGATGGTTCCAATTGATTGGCCGACATCTGTCCGACAGCGACATCTGTCCGAATCAGAAAATAGGTTATTTGGACAATAGTTTATGTTGGATCCTACCGTACGATTTTCTTGAAACTTTTCATAAAGTATAGTGGTTATATGACGAATAATCTGTGTAAGTTTGAGCGAGTTTCTATGTGCCAAATTTAAGATATTACCTTAAACACTAAAAATATATCCAATTCGGTGGTTTTCAGTGGTTCCAAAGCATATATCTGGAGATCCAACGATACGATTTTCTTGAAACTTTCTAGATAGTAAGATAGCTTTAAGACAAATAATTTTTGCAAGTTTGATTAAATTTCTATGTGCCAAATTTGAGATATCACTTCAAACACACGAAAATAGTGTTGTCGGACAGATGTCGCTGTCGGACAGATGTCGTGTTACCAAACTGATTTATTGTTGTTTAATTTTGAATCTATTGAAATTATTATATTAACTGAATTACATTGTATAGACTGCATAGCAAAAGTTTGGAGCTTTGTCTGCTGAAAGTCAGTTTTGAAACAATTGAATGAAAGGAGAGCTACTGACTGATATCATAAGCTACAGTAGGGAACTTAGTGGTAAGTCTTTGTCAAGTTATACAATTAAAATATTGTAACAAGTTTAGTTAGGAAGATTGTTTGTGATTGATATCATCGATTTTCACCTTTTAAGAGTCTAAATTGCAGGAACTTGAACTCGATAGAATGATGACGTGGTGACCATTATATCTGATATTATAACAAACTTGAAAAGTTACATGCTTTTTACGTAAATGTATGAACCAAAAGTGTTGCTTTTATTGGTGTTTCTTAAAACTTTAACTATCACGATCGAATTATAGACTTTAATTGAAGCTAATGGGACACATCTGACCGCAGATTAAACGTTTAGCCGGTGTAGTAGAGACGAAATCCATACCTCAGAGGGTGCCAGCTAAACCAGTTGTAAGTGGTTCACAATCATTAAAATTGTTATTGTTAAAAGTGCAACGACCTGAGCCTTTGCGCCGTGACATGGACGGTAACACAACTCGTGTCCGACAGCGAGATCTGTCCGAATCAGGGTACCAGAAAAAAACGGCATCTGTCCGAAATCATCATCTGATTTCAACACATTTCCAATTAGAGACATGATCTGAACTCATGAACTGTTACTCGCTAATTTGTATACGTAACATTTCCAATTTGAGATATGATCTACCCAATGCTCCGCGTCCGCCATATAATATATGATCTGCGTTCTTAGCAGTACCCCAAAGGAAAGATCGTCGAGTATTTTCGTCCCATCCAGAGTCCCAGAGCAGCATTGTTTCGTTGTCGGTAGAGAGCATATAGTTTGCAGGAATGGGGAGCGTTTCCAGATTAGAAAGGTTTCCAGATTAGAAGGGTTTCTCGGGTTAGAAAGGTGTCTGTTTGCTGCTTTTCTGCTTCTCTGTACCATTCTGTTGAGGGGTGATAGCTGGCAGCTCTAGATTCGTAACCCGATCCACCAACTGATTCAGATAAGAGTTATTTCGTCGGTCGATCTCCACCAGAAGCTTTTCTTTTCAAGTTCTGTTTGCTGACGTGGACGGTCGTTTCAGCATGGTGGGCAGGGTGAGTGCGGTCAGGAGTAGGAGTGATCAGTTGTTTCTCCACGGTAGAATCGTGCTCTGCAACCCTTTCGGAAATCCGAATATTTCCAGTGGGTGGTATCGTCTCTTTATTTGTCGAAGACGTATCGGAAGCCATTCAGGACAGGGTTCTCCGGGCCGAGCCTTGTTTGCGTCCAGGGATAAACTGAAGATTGGTTGCAATTGTGGATTGCGATAACTGATCTACATACCGCTGTCTTATATGTACTCATGTCCTGTGATGTGATCGACAGCTTGTAAGTTTACGGCTAGGACGATCTGACGTTCCTGTTCTCAACTAGTCAATCATATATCGAGGATTATATTTCAATGGATCACATCAGCATTAGAACAATGGGAGCAACGTCACGAGATTACCCGTGAGCTTGTGAAATACGAATGTGAACTGAAATTACAATATGATCCGAAATTCGGACAGATGTCGCCAAAAACGACTCCTGTCCGACAGCCACATCTGTCCGAAATCCCTAATTCGGCTGTCGGACAGATGTCGCCCAATCGACATGGACACGGTTGGACACCACCTATACCATTATTTGGTAGATCAACTTAATAGATTTACATGGTTTTGACTTACATCTCAAAACTTATTTAATTTAACTGTTACTATACCTGCCGGCAGGTATTGTAACAGTTAAATTAAATAAGTTTTGAGATGTAAGTCAAACAGTATTTCCCAGGAACAATATTTCATCACAAATGAACAAATTGCTCCAAGATACATACAGTTCGAGCTCATATGATTTTCTTCCTGTAAGTATATCTTGTCAAATGTCAAAGAATCGATGTAACATAGTATGTTGTTACACGCTTCATAACTTATCGCAGCATGCAATGTGTACTATCCTACATTCGTTTTCATTTGGTATATACATTCATTGAAATAACTATTGTTTTTCAGCCAAAGAGTAGTCGAAGATTGAGAGCATACCTGCTATCAAGAAACCTGTTATCAAGAAGCCTGATATCAAAAAACCTGATATCAAGACATGCAGCACTGTCAAATCGGTTAGTACAAGTGTAAAAACTGTTCGTGAACACGTGTCGCCCATCGGGATACTTGGATATTGCCGATTTTATGTGTGATCTCGAGTTACATATGTCGTCACTCGTCATGCTCAAATCCATCTAAATAACTTGTTTCCAGGCTTGATAATCAGCTGTTACCCGGGTGAAAGTTCAGTTTATCTTCTATCAACGTTTATTGATCTCACAAATGCTTGATGTTTGAATTGCAGTGTCGTTTAACACTAACAGTACTTAAATCACCAGTATGTAAAGTCAAATCACTAGTATGAAGGCATATCATAGTAGTACATTTTACTGATTTAAATCGAAACCGTCAGATCTTAACGTTCAAAATGTACGATAAAAACTTGACCAAGCCGAGTTTTACCGAGGTTTTGCAAACATGCGATGGAAAACAAACGCATTCCACTGAGTGGAATCCACTCATGTGTAAGACGGAACCAGTCAAATCCCTGTCAAAACTTCGAGCAAATCTACACACACTGTAACCAGCCAGGGGAGGTGGTTACAGAAGGAGGCAGTGACGACTGTTGACATACATTTTTATTTCTGTTTCACCTGTCAGACTTCATATCGATACACCGTTGTCTCGGAAGGGGTGTTCACGGTTCAATAACAACGACCTTACAATTGTAGACTGTCAGCTTCTGGAAACCATCTTCACCAGACTGACATTGTTTGGACACCCCATATCCGAGACAGTCGATCTTTCCGAAAGGAGTCCGACAGTCCCCACCTTACCAACAACACCCTAGGGGATCCCTTCCTACTCTATATGGGCATGAAGGAGACACCTCTAGACTTCCAGTCCTGTAGAGAGTGTGGGAGGCATTCCCCTGTCATCCTCTTTGATGTGAAAGCAATAGATAAAGGCTCTGACGGCAAACCTGATGTCTACCCCATACAATTTGATGACTTGTGGAACATCGATCGTCAAGCAGAAAACCGGATCTAACGTCATCAACGGTATGCTTGACATGATTAAATTAATCAAGAAGGGGACACTGAGATAACGGGTGGAGAGGATAATAGAACACAACACAGATCACTATTCGTTCACTAAAAAGTTTGTACAGATTGCTGGGAAGAGTGGTGGACTTCTCACAGTCATGTGTCCACATGGAATATGTGTAGGGTTTAAGGTCCTCTGCCTGCATGAAGGGGCATCGGATTACGTTCAGTTCCTTAGATCATGGCAGCATATTCCGTCAATATCTGTTGTGGTCTTTAATTCCCAAGTGGCCAGACATGCCGAGAAGCAGTTCCCTGGTATGCTGCCACCATACGGAGGAAAGCTGGCAGACTCTTCAAAACCGGAGATCCCGCAATTCATCAAATTCGGCGGCGTTATAAACTTCGATGAGCTGTTGAACCACAAAGTTCAATCTGTGAAATCCAACCCTAGAGACCATCCTGTAACCAAGTGAAGCCACAAGTTACCATATTTATGTCCATAATCAAAGATAGAGATTCGGCGGAAAGACAGTGCAGGCTGAGCGCCGCCCAGTAAGCCATAAGTACATCTTATTTGACAGATTTCATTCGAGGTGAATTTAAAAAATCCATAAGATATATTTCATCGCTTGAATATTTGTGCACAGCTGCTACGGAATAGAATAAACACATCAATTTGTGAGCAAAATCACAAGGAGCTTAATAGGTACAGATATTCATTATATAACATGTCGGGGATGAACTTACTGCTGTCGGTTACATTCATACATCTTATGAGAAACGGCTGCACGAATTCCAGGCCCCCCTATTATTAGGGGTCAGATCATACTTACTTACTTGATACTTGATAAGGTCTCCTCGATCATTCGAGTGGCCTGCACCAAGGAATTGCCGCTTATGTCGTATCATCTCTCTCCAGTGCTTGCGATTTCCTGCCAACTCTCGGACCTTATCAAATACAATGTCTGGATCTCCTGTAAATGTCACTGCGTCTTCCAGGACACAGGTTCGCCAATTCTTTCTTGGCCGCCCACGTGATCTTCGGCCGTGAGCAGGTGTCCAGTCAAGTAGATACTTTGGTAGCCTGGTGTCCGGCATTCTAGAAACATGTCCAAACCAGCGAAGACGGTTGGCACTGATGTTGGTTATAACCGGGTTTATTCTTGCCCGCTCCAACACTTGAACATTGCTCATCCGGTGGAACCATTTAATTCGAAGGATTCTCCACAAACAGTTTTGATGGAAAACTTCGAAGCGATGTAGTTGCTTTGAAGTAGTGTTCCAGACTTCGCTTCCATAAAGTAATATTGTTAGAACCGCTGCAACATATATCCGTATTTTGGTGTTAGTTTGGATATTGCGATTCTTCCAAATATTACCGAGCTGATTGAATGCTCCTGAGGCTTTCTGGATCCGTGCAGACAAGTCCCGGTCAATAGTCCCATCACTTGATATAATCGACCCAAGGTAAGTGAAGTTGCCGACTTGCTGGATAGCCGTGTCTCCCACTGTAATGTCCACCGTTGATGCTTCAGTATACGGCCTCTGTGATGTATTCTTGCCGATGGCCATAACCTCTGTTTTCTTCGCATTGATTCTGAGGCCAGCCTGAGCCGCATACTTGCATAAAAGATCAGTCGTCTCCTGGAGACCGTCCTTGGTGTTGTCCATGATAGCCAAATCATCTGCATAGTCAGTATCCAAGACGACTGTATCCTGACCAAAGCTGGTGGTAGCTCTCTGCAGCACTGCCCCGTGTGACAACACTTTGTTATTCTCAGCCCGCTGCGCAGGCAGGTTGATGCAAACATTAAAGATAGGTGGACCCTGAATATCCCCCTGCCCAGAACCAGATGTAACGTCAAACCAATCTGAGAGCTCACCATTATGTCTGACAGAGCTGACGGTGCCGCAAAAGAATGCTTGCATTATGCGAATGTATTTACAAGGCAAGCCATAATGACTGAAAGCTTTCCAGATAAACTCCCGATTAAGTGAATCGAATGCAGCTTTAAAGTCAACAAAATTTAAGTACAGGGGGAGGTTAAACTCAATGCTGTTGTGAATAATAGTACGGAGCGAATAAATCTGATCAATGCAAGACCTTTTTTTCCTGAACCCGCACTGATTCTCTCGGAGCAGTTCTTCAAGCCCCGCATTCATCCGTCGCAACACTATTATCTGATAGAGTTTTGATGCCGTGGAGCGTAGGGTTATGCCCCTGTTGTTCGAGCAGAATGATGTATCACCCTTTTTCGGGACAATAACAATGATACCATTAACCCAATCCTCTGGCACATTCTCCGTCTCCCAAACACGTGCAAACAGTTTCTCAAGCCTGTCTAAACACTAAAAGACCAGGAGCCCCATACTTCAGCTGTTCGTTGGAAATTTCATCAATTCCAGAGCTGTTGTGATTCTTCAGACTCTTTAAAGCCTCAGAGATCTCTGTTCTGCTAGGGGGTAAATCACTATCACTCAGATACGGAAAACATGGTGCGACCTCTAGACTGTCTAGGTCTGAAAGGTCCACGTCTCCTATCTGCGGGTTTAGTAGTTCAGCGAAGTGCTCACCCCATCGTTTTCGTTGAGCAGCGGGGTCAGAAATCAACTTCTCGGTTTTATCTCTGACAGCAGTTGACTTCCGACTCTTCTTGCCTGACAAGGACTTGATCATCTGCCAGACCTCCCTCTGCTGACCGTGTGAAGAAGCTGTTTCCAGATCGGCTGCAACCCGTAAAGCCCAGTTCTCATCGTCCTTCTTGCAGCTCTTCTTAACACGCTTATTAGCAAGAGAATACTCAGATCTATAATTGAATCCATCACATGGGCATTTCTGCTTGACCTTACTCCGCTCCGAGATGAGATCCTTTGTCTCTTGTGACAAGTGCTGCTTGTCAGATCAATATATGACGTATAATTAGTGATGTGCCGTATAATTAGTGATGTGATCCACCAGCTACGATTTACAGAACATGTGAACTCTACCCTATATCTAGCCCAGTTTTACCCCTTAGTTTTGATTTAAATTAACAAGTACACACACAATACTAAAAGAACAGATATCGTGGAGTTGGGTATGGTAATTCCTTCGCCTCTTAGCGGGTGTCTTGCCAACACTCAACCTGTCGATGTGAAAGTCGGTAATGACTTGCTGATCTTTGATAGCTCGCACATACTCTTGAACAGAGGGCTTTGGGCGATGCACTCGGGATTTAAATCCTCTGTGAAAGCCAGGCAGACTTGAGGGCTGAATCCTTTACTTGTCCTTCTTCCGGGAGTAGATGTATCCATCAGAGTCGAGTAGCTGTTGACATCCTGTCCGACCAGAGATGAATTTGGAGAAGGTAGACATGTTGATAGAATGCGATACTATTGTCTATCATCTTCCAGTATATAATATACCTAAGAACACTTGATCGGCTCACTCCCGTTGCATGCCTTTGGCACGTACGTCTCACATACCTAGATACAAGAACCCCTCTTTAGCAAGAGCTCCTGTCCCTTATGTGATATAGTTATACGAGTCGAGCGGTCAAATCTTAAAGATCATGTTTACTTCTTAATGCACAGCTATGATGTACATGTGAACTCTACCATTTCTAGGTTAGTTAAATTCTACTGATGGATCACATTACTAATTATACGTCTCTAATTAGTGACATGATCTGATCTCCCTGGGCCCCCTAGTAATGAGGGGGCTGGAAGTCGGCCTCTCGACCAGTCAGTGAGTGGAATAGGGAGTGAAGCCTGTTACCATTCCTCCACTCTTTAGAGTTTAGGAAAATAGAGCCAGCAACGAAGATTGATAATCGCCTGCTAGTTCCTGTAGCAACTAAATCGCCTGAGGATGGTGACCGGATTTTCGTCTGTTCAAGAGAAGAACATCCAACAGCAAGGAATGTGAAATATATCAATGCCATGCCGTGCCAACAGCAGACGGATAACTTCTCGTGTGGACCTCTATGCTTTGGGTTTCTCTGGGCATTTAGTGGTGGAAACGACCCCCAACAGATTCTGGTTCAACTCTACGGATATTAGGAAGACCATACTTAAAATCGCCGAGGACGTCAATAATCGCGATACACATCTTGGGAGAGAAGTGCAAAAAATAAATCCAACGGCAGCGTCAAAATCTCTGGTTACTGTTTCCTGTCAGGCTGTCTGAATCCTTAACAACAAATTACTCTCCAAACCCTGGGCAACTTCTCTCCTAGCTCCAACTACAACCGAAATACTGTAATATAAGCCCATCACCCTTTTCATCAGTCTCTGGAAAGCCCCTTGAAGTACCTACAGGTGTATCTATACTAGTATACTCATTCCACTAGCATGTAACATGTTCACGTAATCATTATAATGAGCTTTCCTCACTTCTTCACTTATCACTCAACCCAGCCTCTCTTCCAGTGCTCTGGATTTGGAGGACTTAATTAATGATACACTCAATTAATATACTTGTTAATTGATCTTTGATGTAATTTCTATTCGGTCTATTATTTTAATTTTGTTAGTGCATGGAGTGAGTCATGTGTATTAAATTTCGTAATGAAGACTGCTTTCAATTCCCAATTGAATTTGTTTTAGTTCTTAGTACAATATTTTAAGAGATTAAGAGAAAAGGAAGTTTTGATACTATGGTTTCGTACACGCTGCTTTGCTTTTAATAACTTCCTGGGTTGATGTAATGATGTTATACAGGTGGGCTGTGTAGAATAATTTTAAATTTGGGATAGACGTTGCGAAACTATGATCGACCGCCAAGCTTTTGTTATATTTGAAATAATAACAATAATAAATTAAATTATAAACACTGCTTTTAAGTTGTAAAACTTTTACTCAGCAGTTTGAGAACAACTACAAAAGAACAAACTGATATAAGTGCCACAATAACTCTATCCTAAATTAACAGCCTTCCCAGCAATACACGATATATTAATATAACTCAGTAAATAGTACACACTACACAGTATTATGTACTATGCAGTAGTACACAGGCACTTTCAATCATTTAGTAACCTGAAATGTTTAGCCAGTAAATTATTTTAATGTTATTTTTTACACACTGTTCCTCATGAGTATATTAAAGCTTTATTACCGGGACTACTGTATTTCTTTTACTTGTTAATCCGACCGACTGCTTTAAACTTTTTTTAAAGTGTGTTATCTTCAAATTAATTCTGAGACCCACTCAATCAATACGATGCTGCATTCCATGTTTACATTGTTCCTAATTACATTGTTATCTTCATCCATGATCGCTAATAAGCTTAATGACATTGTTTGTAATTTAGTACTTCTTTTTCACTTGTTTACAAAAGAAATATGACTCAAAATTTTTCAGCTCCAGTACCTTGGTCGAGTGAAATCGTTTCTGCTCAGATGTCCGCTGGAGTACTTCCTCCGCTGGAGTACTTCGTCCGCTGGAGTACTTCGTAATGTTGTTCTAAGGATGAACAAAGGTAGTACAAAATTTAAGATTGTAAATCTTTAGAATCATACTGTCTAGCGCCTAATCGTTCAAAATCTGGCGAGTAACTGAGATAATTAAAACCTGATTGAGATTTGAAAAGTTACTTACCATTGTACAGTCAAAAATTATATTTTTAATTTCAGCATAGTGATGTACACGTCTACATAGCTGGGAAAGATGAGGTCATAGATGATGGTAAACCCCTTAGAATGAATGAAGAATGGTGCAGTAGCAAGTTGTTGGGTTCTCTGCTAGAAAGTAGGAAAGATGTCACCAGAAGAATCATGTTAGCCAATGTAGCATTCCAGAACTTCAAGAAGGTCTGGTGCCAGAGTAAGATCCCCCTACAGAAGAAGCTGAAGGTCTATGAGGCCCAAGTAGTATCTATCCTCATGTATAACTCTAGTTGCTGGGGAATGCCTAAATCGTACTGGGACAAACTAGATGCATGTCACCGTAACCACCTCAGAAAGATCATGAATGTCAGCTGGCCACGCAGTATGATGTCCAAAGATACCCTCTACAAACAGAGTAACTCTACCCCTATGTCTGAGCGTGCTGAGTTATCTAGGTGGAAGATGCTAGGACACATACTGAGGAGCGATGAAAGATCACCAGCTCAAGCTGCGCTGTGTTTTGCTGTCGAGATGTGTAGTGAAGTTGGTAGACTCGGGGCTCACAGACGTAACCTCCTGCACCACCTGAAGGTTGACCTCTGGAAGCGCTTCATCTTGCTGGAGTCGTATGATGATATTCTCCATTTGAGAGAACTTGCTAGTAACCGTGGTTATTGGAGTAAATTGTTTAACTTTATACTTGAGTACAAGTCAATTTGATTATTGGGACATATAATTTTACAAAGGATCACGTTTCGGTTCTAAATTATTTTAGGATTGTTGACATTTGTAAGATTGACATGTTTGATAATAAGCATAGTGATGAGGAAAGAGTTCTGCTAAAAAAGATAAAAAAGATATGCACTCGAGAGATGTTTCCTCTGAGATTATGCTGATGCCGGATGCATCACAAGCACATATTATTCGAACTGCAAATCGGAGAATTTTTTTATAATCCTGAACTTAATTTAAAATCCTTACTTAAAATCAGTTCTCATCCAATACTTTACAGATATTGCATCTAAGAGAGTAACAGGACGCTCGCAATATCTTGTATATATATATTTTCTTGTGTTTGAAGTCATTATATCTCAAGTTTGGCACATATAAATTCTCCCAAACTCTCACACATTATCCGTCATATAGCCTTGTAACTATCTGGAAAGTTTAAAGAAAATCTATCAGTCAGACCTTGAGAAAATCAAAAATATATTCTAAGTTATTCACTAAAACACTCTATTTTCGAACTTTTTAACTTTTTATTTTAAACAGATTTATCGTTCTGGTACCGAAATGCTTTACTATAATAAACGTACGGCGCGAGAACATTTCCTCGTCCAAAGTCTGACAATTAACAACATGCGTAGGATTCCCTCAAGAGGTGAAAACGTAATCGCCACCCGCGCCCGAAGTGGCGCGAAAGCACATGGTTAGGTGAACTTACTTATTATATGCAATGCACGGATCTAACTTTAACTAGATATGACTAATAACATAATTGATAATACGTAGATATGACTAATAACATAACACGTTGCGCGCGGCATCAGAAATGTGGAAGGAAATCTGACGCCACGATTTCTGGAGCCAGTTTGTGGCCGTGGATTTGGGATTGTGGATATACAATATAGCCTTGTCATACTTTGTATGACCCGCCCCCCCTGTATCGTCGAAAACGATATAGTGAAGCGACAGTGGGGGTCACCACATGATACAAATATAGCCTAAGCCTTTTGTGCCGCGTTCGGTGGTCGCGCGCTACTGCATACTGCAAAGTGCAAGCGAAAGGGCTCTGGTTAGAGCAATTAGATCGGCGAGATCAGAGATGCGCTACTGGACCTCGCCGAGCTGCGAAGAATTGACATTGTCAATTAATTCTGGAACCAGTATATCCGGAGAAAAATCTGATGCAATCAAAATTTTGAAAATGTCCACCAATAGCAAGTAGGCCTTTTTTAAATTTTAGCTTTCCGTGACTCAAATTAAACTGTTTTGACTGAATTTTTCCTTCTATTCTTAATGACCATCTAGCAAGTTAAGAAATCACCGAGGATGACACAAAACATGATTGAGTTGTAGTATAGCGCGATGCACTACTTGTAGGTTTATAACCTGTAACCTACCAGGACGCGCGCCGAGTTGGACTCGTTGACGGAACAAATATTTTACGAGTATCACCCGTTAATGCACTACTGGGCCGCGCCGCGCATTCAATAATCCATGTGATCTCGCAACCATTGACGGATGTTACTCGTCTAAATTTCTCCGAAGTAGCGCGCGCCGCTTTCTTCTCGGGCTTGATCATTAACCATGGTCAACGCAACCACAGATCAGCGAGATGCGAAGGATTGACATGGTGAATCAACAATCAAATGATTGAGGTACTCAAAGTTTTATTCCCACAGAAACCTTTGAAAAACGGAAAATCATAAAAATATTTTAAAAAGGGTTTAAAAGATTTTTGAATGAAAGTTTTTCTGTTAACGTGTGATATTCGTAAAATATTTGTTCCAAATATACAAGCTGCGTCGACGAGTCCAACTCGGCGCGTGTCCTAGTAGGTTATAAACCTACAACTTTTTTGCCGTCTGCTTGACTAAATTTTTGACCAGTGCCCAATCAGTGAGGTCGGTGAAAGTGACACAAGTCGCCATCAAAGTACTAAAAGCTGTATATCTGGAGAAAACTTTGATGGAATGACATGATTTCAAAAATGTCCTACTATAGGTTGGACATTTTCACGATTGGGGTGTACTGAAAGTTTTATTCCCAAAGAAAGCTAGCTTGCCCGTTGTTTTGGGACAATCCATTTTGGGTGGAATGTCGCATCAATAGGTTTGCCTGGTTTTAGAATTGACCGTTTATTTTCCCGGAACATTGGGTTTGATGAAAAAAAGGGAGTAAATAAAGTCCAAATTGTTTTACCAAAAATTTTTTGCCGAAAAAAGACTCTTGCTAAAATCTGCCAAAACTGAAAATGTTTTTGCCTTTTTAAGTAACCCACCCTCATCCCCCCAAATTGGTTTTAAAAACAAAGGGATTTCCGTCTACCCCACCTTCCAATCCGTTTTAAATTGACAGGTTTTTTAAAAAATCCCCCTTTTTCTGGGCTTTTTAAATAAAAACTTTCCCAAAAACAAAAACACGACGGGAAAGCAAATTGCTTATTTTTTTTTTAATTTTTGGGCCGTTTTTTTCCCCCAGAACTTTTAAAGAATAAAAAAATTTTAAAGTTTAGTTTTTTTGAAAAGTTCTGATTGACAAATGGCAATTTTTTACGGCGAAGAACGTTTCTAAGTTTATACCTCCCCCAATCGTCGCTGAAAATTTAGATTTTTTGTCCTTTATAAGTTTAGTGGCGAAAACTTTAATTAAAAAGCATAGGGGAAAACTTTTTGTAAAAACATTTTCAAAAAGGCTTAATACATAAATTTTTTTTCCCGGAAAAGCCCCTTTAAATGGTCATACATTTTTTGAGTAGAAAAAAAACCAAAACCATTTTCATTCCCAAAATGGCACCATTTTGAATAAAGGGGAAAAAACCCTTTTCCCAAAAAATTTACCTTACCGTAAGCCTTTTTCCCCAAAAAATTCCTTTTTGCATTTTAGGGGGTTCCCAAAAAGGGGTTTTTTGGGGTCGGAAAAATTTTCCTTGTCCTAGGAGCTTGACCAAAAAACAAAAGTTCCAAAAAAACCCCAAATTTCCAAAATTCTTAACACGCCCAAAAAACCCCAAAAGGGCAATATTTTTGATTGTTTTACATCTTTTTATTCTGTAAAATGTGCTAAAATGAAATTTCTTGTTTCATTGAGAAAATCTTTTTTGCCATCTCTTTGACCGAAATTTCGCGACCAGTGACCAATCAGTGAGGTCGGTTAGAGTGACACAAGTATGCAGCTCAATAAGTTTGCAAAACCCAGAGATTAAAAATACTGATGCATTTTTCACTGAGTTGTGACCCAATACATTGATCTAATATGTTTGATATTTGTTAAACATGTTTTTTAACAGAATTTGTTTGCTTAAATAGAAGTGCATTACGATATTACAGGGTGGCCCAGAAGTAATTACCCACACGCAACCCTTTAATAACTCAAGTAATTCGTATCAGAATTGCTTAAATATTTCAGAGAATATAGATTTCCTGAAAATGTCGTAAAATGTCAAAGGTTACAGAGGGTGTGGCATGCCACTCCCTCCTTTTCTCTATTGTCATCATAAAGTGAGAACGTTTGGAGCTAGGAACTAGACACATTTGGTTTGATAATTGAAGTGCTTTCCCAAACTTTCAAGTTGGTTGTTTACCACTAAGCCGAGTTATGCCCATTTTAATATCTGGCGGATGCATGATCCCAGCACTTAATCAGTGATCTCATCAGGAGATATTTGCTAACAGACAACAATGATCCTCATTAGGCGGTACCGAGCATGTTGGGGGATGATGATCTGATCACCTTAAGTGAATACTGATTGTGAATACTGATTGTGACTTAAGTGAATACTGATTGTGACTCCTTAAAATCAAAAAATTCTTTTTATAGCGTTTCGGTTGCTGTCCTATGAGCAGGTTCCAACCAATCAGGCACTATAATTATCAAACCAAATGTGTCTGGAAACTTTGAAGTTTCTAGCTCAAAAAGTTCTCACTTTATGGTGAAAATAGAGAAAAAGAGGGAGTTGCATGCCATGCCACACTCTCTGTAACCTTTGAAATTTTACGACATTTTCAGTTTGACCCATATCTATAGGTGATAGGTGATAGGCAATATGAAATTACACATCTTACTTTATCCCGTCACCCATGGACTTAATTAAGGGCTGGTGGTGGTGTCATCGTTTGTCGTACTCAAAACCTTTCGCGGTTGCGAATGCCGGCCCATCGAGGAAAATCTTTTTGCTTTGTTTTTTAACCATTATAAAGTATGATTAGTCAGATATAATCAATAATACTGAGTTCAAACAGTTCCCGAAACGAAAAAGCAAACATTTGATTTTTGTTTCGGTGACTGAATCGTCGATGGGCCGGCAAATATTTGTTGTCGAGTAGTGTTGAATACTCATATTAACATGATTATTGATTTAATTTAGGAATTGTATATAAATATCTTTGACCAAGTTTAATTGTCAATGAGAATGCACCCCAGCACTCGGCTACAAGTTAGGCAGCTGCAGAAAAAATGCCGCGCGCGTCCAGCGTACGGCTTTTCGTTTTTGATTTTACAAATGACAAAGCAACTTTTAATGATTATTAATGGAATTATCGGATATTTATAATTCAATATGTATTGATTCTTCTGTGGAAAATAAAAATTGTATTTTGCTTAAAATTGTATTTTACTTATATTCTCTGAAATGTTTAAGCAATTCTGATACGAATAACTTGAATTATTAAAGGGTTGCGTGTGGGTAGTTACTTCTGGGCACCCTGTAGTATTTGTAAGTAATGTTATTGATGTTATTTGCTGTTTATTCATTTTCTGTTAATTCTATTTATGATCATTATTGTGAGGATGAGGCTTTTTGTATGAATAAGCTGTACTGAATTGATTGCTGTCATGATATTACAATGTGTTACTATAATATAATTGATAATTTATGACCATAGAAAGGTTGTCCCACAGGATGCATCAGATTCTTTAAACCATATTTTTAAATCATTTATATTCAATCCAAATTCCCAAAAGGCAATACAGGATACATTTACAAATTTTGAGAAATTGTCATAATTAGGAGTATGTTGTCAATTATATTTAACAGTTTCAATCATTCAGGCTATGAATTGCTTCAACAAGCTGGACCTGGCTTGGTCTCAAGGGTATGACGGACAAAGGTTGAAGTTCATTGACAAGAAAACTGTCATATCAGTGTGTGGCTGTATGATGAAGTTTATTGATACTACCACTGGTAAGGAGAAAAGCCACCGCAGTGGAATCAATCCATATGGTGCATTCACTGTAAATCCAGCTTCTGATCTTATTGCATACGCTGAGAAGAAGCTCAACCCTTCTATCCAAATTATAACTTTTCCTGAATTTGAACCCTCTGGTGTGCTGAAGGATGGCTGTATGATGGAATATGTTGATATTGCTTTCGCTCCCACTGGAACGTACATTCTTACTTGTTCTAGTCTACCGGATTTTAAACTGAGCTTGTGGGATTACAGCTCAGGCACTATGTTAACCACTGTCAATGTCAAATCTCATCCTGGTAATTCCATATCCTTCAATCCTCTTAACTGGAAACAAATAAGTGTTACTGGCGACCAAAGCTTTCACATAGGGAGTATTGAAACTTCAAACGAAAAGTATGGCATCAAGTTGTCGACAATTGATTTGCCAGACCCTACAGCAGTTCTTGGACCTGTGGCAGAGCAGAAAGACATATACCTAAAAAAGTTTGTCCCATCACCAATACTGACCGCAGAGAGTGTAAAGATTGCATCAACTCTTAGTCCTCTGCACAATAAATACAAAGACAAGCTGAAGAAAGTAGCACCCGTTTCCCATTGCTGGGCGGTAGGTAATTGTGTTTATGTGGGCTGTACTGACGGTCAATTACTGCATTATGATACAACATCCTCAACAATGTCCGTTCTTACCAATCCACTGGCCAACAGCAAGGGCTCATCAAACACTGATTTGAAAATAAAGGAAGAGGACGAAGACGATAAGCTTGACTCTGCTCAAAAGATCCTAGGTAAAGGTGATCTAGAAACTATTGAGTACTACCAAGACGGTTTATTTGTTTGTGGTGCCAATGGAAAGTTGAGGCTGCTTAGTCTAGATATTGTATCACCCGATGTTCTTGATTGTTGGGATACAAAATCTGTCATTTCTTCCCTGGCATGGTCTACTGCTTATGACAAAATTCTATTGGGAAGTCCTAATGGGATTGTATTCTCTCTGTTTCCCTCAAACAAAAATGCTGACTTGAACACGCTGTTTAATGTCAAGTGTGGTCCAATGGTTGGGGTTGACTTCGTATCCCCAACCAACAGTCAAATAATCTCTTGTCGGAAGAATGGAATTGTTCAAGTTTGGTCTGCTGAAACTGCAGCTCAATTAAGCAGTCTGCAGCTGGGATCAGAGGTTGCAAGCCTGGCATGCTGCCAATCATCCCGATCTGCATTCATTGGATTAAGCAGTGGGCAACTTGTTGTCCTGGATCTAAACACTCCCGAGTCTCCCAGGATCATATTTGAGGACAAGATTCACCGTGGTTCAATTCAACATATTACTTTTGACATGAGTGGAAAACTTCTGTTTACTGGCTCCAACGATGGACATGTTATCATTCTAGATACAAGAGCCTCAAACAAGTTCAAATGCTTGGGACACATTGATATCAAAGGAGAAGTTACTGGAATTGCATCACTGCATCAATTGAAGGTTGAGAAAGAATGGTGTTACCTTGCTATTTCTTCGGTCAATGACAAAGGTTCATTTATAACACATGCTAAGATACCAGTAGATTTGCACCTCCAGCCAAAGGAAGCATTTGATGATGATACATTCCACATGGATCCTAACTTCATCGTTCGTACTGATGCCCAACTTGATTTCGTAGCTTCTAGTGTTGCAATGGTTAGCCCTCGTAACATGGTCACTGTAGATGCAGCCAAGAAAAAGGTCGTTGTTTTTAACTTGACTAATGATGGAAAGATAGCCGTGACTGAAAAGGTCAATGGTCATCTCCTTAAAGGTGGTTCAGTCGTCATTTCACCGCATGGAAAATGGATCGGATCATTTTCAGCTGATGGGCAAATCATCTTCAGGAGTGTCGAGGACGCACAAAATAGTGTCTCTATTCCTTGCCATTCTCACTTTCTTGGCGGGACATCATTCCTAAAGTTTGCCAACGATGGTCAACAAGTTTTGAGTTGTGGAAAAGATGGTGTCATCGCCCTTTGGAAATGGAATTATGATAGCCTTGTAACCGAAGAAAAAGCTATTGTTTTAGGAGCAGTTGATGCCTCTCGAGGACGATATGCATCTCTATTAGGTTTGAGAAAGGAGCAAGATGCTGTCCTTCAAAATATGACTGCATTGTCTGCCCTCAAGAGTCAGGACAAGACTTGGCTTGAGAAAGTTCAGGCTGGAGTCCAGGAACTCAAGGATAAAACGTTTGAGCCACAGATTGACGAGCTAAAGAAGAGTATAAGTGATTTAAGAGCTACTGTTCTTGGAATGATTGAAACCAACGGAAATGTGGATGATATTGAGCAGTTGAAGAGGCACGAATTTACTTTAGATGTCGATGAGAGACAGCGACTCTTGAATGAGGGAGATGATGAAATAGAAAGCATCAAAGAAAGTGTCGAGCTTGAAAACCTAGCGATGCTCTTTTTGAAAGAACTCATCAAGAAAGAATGCTGGGATGGGATGGAGGTAGTTGGCCGCTCACTGGTCCTTTTCTCTGGTGATCTCGAGGTAAGCAACTTTTCTATAAAAAAACGAACGGAAGCTGAACGAGCGGAAGTAGAGCGAGTCCTGGGAGTATATGCTCATGAGAAGCTGGAAGAAGAGGAAGTTGAATTTGCTCCAAAACCAAAAGATGACGAGGGTGAGCACGAAGAAGAGCAGGAAGTGTCTGCTTCTTTGTATGGCAGTCACGCTAAAAATTTTTATGCTAAATCAATCCAGCATTCTCAATTCAACCTCCATTCTAACCAGAGGAAGAGAGATCAAATAGAGCTAATCAAACACACGATTGTACATCTAAAAAACACGTTCAACAAAGAATTTGATGATGTTTACATGAGTAAGAAACAGGAAATTACTAGAGTGGCTGAACGGGTTGATCGAATCAAACAGATTCTGATAGACCTGAAATCCGAAGACGATGTTGTGATCCCAGCATTCAAGAAAATAGAAATACCCGAATCTTTCCTTGTTGTTGAAGATAGTGAGATTAAGTTTGAGAAGTATCTGACGCCTGAACAGCAGGCAGCTCAGGTAGAAAAGGAGCGACTTGAAGCAGAGAAGAAACGCCTCGAAGAAGCAGATAATGCACGAGAACGTGCTCTTAATACCATGATGCACGGCAAGCTTGAAATCCGTCCAGAAGATGAGTTACAAAAAGATCTGGAGAAACCCGACTTTATGCTGGCAAAGACAGAAGCTCAGTGGTCAGAAGAGGAGCATAAGGTTGCCAAAGAATTTGAGAAAAAGGAAAAGCATCTCATGGAAGAAAGAGAAAAATACCGAAAGGCTCTAGAGGCTGAACTTAAAAAGCTTCAGACAGCCAATGCGGAAGGAATGAATTCCTTCGACGAGAAACTGAACAGACTCTTCAAGCTGAAGATAGAGTATCAGAAAACCCTCAACCAAGAAGAACTGAAGATTGTGAGACTTTCCCGCTCTATCTATCAGCAAGATTACTTAGAAGACTGTGACAGTGAACTGAGCAAACCACTTGAAGAGTTCAAACAACTCAAACTGAGGACTCAGGAGGAAGTGGCTGAGATTAAACGGAGCATTGATAAACTCCGAGATGAGCATGAAATCGTCCTTCAGGAAGACAGAGCAATTGAAAAGCAATTCAAGAAGGACTTTGTTGACTTGGATGCTTTCACTCTGGAAATGCTAGTCAAGTTATACAAGAGAAGACCTAAAGTGGTTAAACAGAAGCCTCAGAATAACGAGACTACATCAAGATCATCAAATCCATTCTATGTTAAAGTGGAAGACCCTGATAAACTGTTCCTTGAAGCAATGTCAGAGTTGGACTCTGATATCCACAAACCTGAGATATTGGAAATCGACATATGGGAGAGGTTTATTGATGCCCGTCACATTAAAGTTGAAAGTGAATTGAAGGTCAAACATCACAATCAGAAGATTCAAGATCTGAATGGCTTCCTTCAACGTAAGTTAGAAGAAGACGAAGTTGTGAAAACCAAGATTGAGAAAACCTTCCAGCACCTCAACGAGCTGAGGGACAGGAAACTCAAGTTTTTGATGAACCTCGAAATCCAACTTTTACTTAAACAAGGTCAGGTGGAGGTTGATCCTGGAGTATTTTCGACCAAGTTTGATAATGCACTTCTCATTCACCGATCTGTTATCGAGGATCTCAACTCCCAAATCGTTACACTTGGGGAAGGAAAAGTTTCCGCCATGATAGACTGCAAGGATTATTACAAGAACATTCATCTTTTAGAGTGGGAACATGAGAAAATGCAAATGGAAGCGGAAGATCTAAACTCCAAAACAAGGGACGTCCAAACCTTGAGGGTCACTAAGGAGCTTCAAGTATTCTTGTTTGAAGAAAACAATGCACAAAGGATGCAAAAGGAGATACAAACATTAGAGAAAACTATCAAGCTCAATGAGAACATGCACCAACGAAAATCACTCGACAAAAAGAGGATTTTAGATCGTTTGAACAGGCTCATTAAAGAAAAAGAACTTGAGTGTGCTATTCTGGACGCCGAATTGAAGGAGCTTGCAGTCTCTCTGGTCGAAAGACAGCAGATATCAGAGGCCTGTGTCGACGACTTGGTTCCAGCCGCAGATCAAAGAATGAAAGACATCGTGGCTCGAAGGAAACTTGTGGATCTGGCAAAGAGCCAGAGCCAGGAAGTGGCTGTGCTTAGAGCAGAGGTGGAGAGACTCAGGATGAAAACTTTCCCTGCATTAGTTCAGCACAACTGAGATTTTAATGGACTGTCATTGGACGGAATGATCAAAGATGTATTAAATTTAAAGTGCAAATACTGTTAAATTCGTAGTTCAAGTTTTGGTTTTTAGATGCCATCACGATTTCTTACTAAGATTTTTCTGGTACAAAAGTAATAAGTGTATCCTATTTTGCCATCATGGTTATATTCTAGTTATTACTTTTGTACAGTGCATAGATTCTATGATAAGTAATATTATATACATAATATTTATACTTGTGTACATACATATTTAACAGAATTTTGTCTTCAATTCTTGCTTTTCATTGTATCTTACAATTTACATTTCATTTAAAAACAATTTTGCAAATTCGTAAGTAATGTTTTGAGACGGCCTACTAAAGGTTCAGTTCACATAAGAATATAACAATTAAAACTAGATCGTTTTAAAAGATCACAGCATCATTTGCATTAATGCCCTAACAAACATTGTAGATAATGAAGTTCAAAGTGTCGATAGGAAAGAAGCCTCAACATGATGGTATGGTTAGCTGTGTGGGTTGGACGGTTGGAGATGATCTCTTTTCCTGTGGGTGAGTAGCTCTTGGTGGAAATAATTTACTGGAAATGTTTCATGCTTATTATATATGAAACATTCCCGAGTTTGAGAAACATTCCATCTCAACGTTATGCGTATAATGAATGAATATAATTAAAAAGTGAATTGGTATATTATGTGAAACTTTGGTCTTTGTCCTACAATAAAAGAATATTACAATATCTTTAAACTAGCTCAATACATAGGCAGTTCTGTAACACTTTAAAGCTGTGTTCTTTATATGGTATCCTCTGCATCTGTGCTTTCTTTGTCCATATTCCATAATAATTGCAGTGGCTCATATTAGCGCGCAAAACATTATTTTCCGTTTCTATGGAAACATGACCGCCGAACCAAAGATTTGTAGACTAATTGCTTTATCAGCAGTGAGTGTAAACGCGCGCGTCAAGTATGACGCGCATATTCATAAACAACAAATTGGTACAAATCTGGATTCTGGAGAGTTACACAAAATAAACGATGCTTTGAACAGATAATACCACACCACATAGTAAAAAAGAAAACTTTATCAGGGATGATGGAGCTATCTTGAAATGGAACAACAAGACTGGAGAAACAGCTACGATAACCAAGTTACCGGAAGGAGTCTACCCAGCCGATATGGCTTGGTTCCCCAGCAATGTCGGCGGCCGACAGTCTGCATCTGAGTTGTTCGTTTTGGGAACCACAGATGGTTAGTTTTAATCTATTTACACACTTTTTAAAACAAAATATCCCTGTTTGTTTAATTTACTGATGGAGTGCTGATTTATTGTTGTCTGGTCCCACGACCACAGTCCGTTTGTTAAGCATGTTATACTATTAATCTTTAATGCTTTTCAAACAAAGTTACAACGAATTCTTCATGTATTGCATCCTGGGTCTGGACAGGATATGCCCGTTTAAAATATTTCCATCACGTTACATTACATAATTCTCAATAAATGTAATAGATTTGTAGTGTTTTAATTAGTTTAAAATTACTATAAACAGTAATTGCATTTTATTTTTACGCGCCCTTTTACTGTAAAAAATACCCGGGAAATTTTCCCCCGGTCCCTGCGGAGGGCACCAAGATTTAAGTTAAGGAGGAAAACCCAAACCCTTCTCAGGGTAGGTTTTAAAAATTTGTTTGAATTTAAACTTGGCCTATATCCTTTTGGTATGAATTTTTGAAAGCCCCCTACAACTTAAAACCCTAAATTTCCGAAAAAAAGTATGGGTCAAATTGGATGTTCCGGCCCAGGCCAAGGGAGGTTAAAAATTTGAAAAAACGTTTTTGTCAATCCTCAAAAAAGCCACTTTGTCTCCAAAAACAAGAAGCAATTTAAGATTTGGGGTCTTTTTTAAAGAAAAAAAATTAGTAAGGGGTCTGTTTTTGCTGTGTAAAAAAATTCTTATTGTTTGTAATAATCGGCTTTTTTGAAAACAAAATTTTTTTTTGATTTTGACCTAATTTTTTTTGTTTTAATTAGCCCCATACTCGTCCTTTCAGAAGAACAGATTTACTGCAAAAAACCTTCTCTGCCCTTGACCTATCGTATAGACTAAAGTAAAAGGGGGGAAAATTATTAAATTTTTCATGTTTGCAAGAACTGAAAACTCCCAACTATATCCTTTTTCCTTCCACCTGAATTTTTAACGAATTGGACTCGAGCCGACAAAAAAGAAAGGAAAATAATTTGATTACAATTTTCTGAAACCCATAATTTCTTGGGTTTTAAAACCCAATAAAATTTTAAAAGGGGTTTTTTGGGACACCCGGGGAAAAATACTTCAAATCTGGAAGCGTTTTTGGTTGATATTTTTAACACTCATCAAGGATCATGTAAATCTTCCCAAGTAAAAATTTAATATATTGTCTGCCAAGTTTGAAATACTACTTGAACCATTTTCCCAATTTCCAGCTCCCAACTTTTTTTAATTTCCTTTCTATAAGGGGGCAACCTTCCCCTTATTTATTAAAAAACCCCCTTATCCCCGAATTTTTCAAAACGGAACAATGTCAAATTTTAGCAGTATCGGACATCCGAAATAAAAATTCGTCAAAATTTTCCCCAAAAGGGTGTGATATAGCCTTAAAAAAGTGGGGAAAAGTCCCTTCTCCCCTGAAAAGGGTTAAAAAAAGTAACTTCACGGGGGAACCTAAATTGGGTGAAAAGTTTGGAAGATGTAAAGTTTCCCAAAAAAACAAAAAAGATAGAATTTGGGAAAAAGGAAAATTTTCCTTAAAAAGTTTAAATTTAATTGAAGAATAATTCGGAAAAAATTTAACGGTTCGAAAAATACATAGCCCCTTTTTGCAAAATTTGTTTAGCTATTCCTGACTTTTGAATTTTTAAAAAAACCAAAGGACAATTCCCCAAAAAACCCTACAAAATTTTCCCCGAACACCCTATTCCCAAATGCCATGCAGTTGAAAGGGTTTGATAAAATTAAAAGGGGCGTTGCCAACACATTCCAACAGTGTTCGGGTAACCCCCCTTTTTTCCAAAACCTTCAAAATTAACCCCCTTTTGGTCTCTGGTTATTTTTAGCAACCACATTTTAAAAAATTTAAAGGGGCTGGAACCCTTTGGGCAATTAAAGGAATAGTTTGGTCGTTGGGTAAAATTTTGTTTATTGGGTTTATTAAAAAGCCTACTTGACCCCAAAAAAAAATTTGGGTTTGAAGGGTGTTAAAAAATGACCCCTTTTTCCCTTTAAAAGCAGACAAATATACCAAGGTTAGAAACTCGCCCCCTTTCAGGTGGATCAAAAAAAGGCCTTTGCGTTGTAGGGCCTCCTTTTCACAAAAACCAGGGGCCTTGGATAATGGAAATTCTTCAATTTCCCAAAGTGATAATTTTTAAAAACCCAATAGTCATATAAAAATCTCCCAAAACTCTTGTCCCCTTAATATTGACATTGGAAAAAAGGGGGGAAAAAAAAAAAAAAAAAGCAGGGAATATCGGACCTTTCAAATTTTCAAGACTTGGATTTCCTGAAAATTTTGGGGGATTTTTCCTATTTAGTGACTAATAACCCTCAGACTTTGCGATAAATCTGGCGTGAGTTTAATTTACTGATTGCAACAATCACAGTTTTTAACCAGGCTATTTGAGGAAGAAAAGGTAGTCTAAAAGTAGCGCCTGACTTTGTACAATGATTTGATTAATGAGATTTGGTCGTCGAATTTCAGAGGTAGAAAGAATTTTTTGTTTAAAATTAGGAAAATATTTAAGATAAATGTACCATTTTTGACAAAAATAAAAAATTTACGAGGGTTAGAAAAGAATGGAAATTAAAATGAATTCGTAACCACCTTTGAAATTCCCGCTACCCTTAAATATTTAGCAAGAGACTAAAATAGATACTGACTGAGTCGTGGTAGTAAAGATTCCTGCGGCTGCAGAGCACTAGCCATCCCAAAATAAACTTTGGATTCCTATCATGTCGGTTTTACAATTAATCTAAAACCTTCATTACATCAATGTAATGTCAGAGCATGTCGGTCGACCTGAATTTCTTATCACCATAATGTTGAAATTTGACTGAAGACCATTGCTACATTTCGTGAGAGTAATTAAATACACATTTCTTTTCTGACGTTGAACTTTAATTGTAAATCAAATAGCAATATGGCCACTGCATATGATTCTTCACTCTGCAGACTTGCAAATTTTCTGTAAAAACAGGATATTCGTTACAGATTGTCGCGTAGGTTAAATTATAAATAACTTAGAATAAGAATATCATAATAAAGATGTCGACGTGGAGGAAATTTTATGCTGCATTTCATTTCGAAATTTTCTCGGAAGAGCTGTGAGAAATTCCGTGTGAGAAATGAAATATTGTCGGAGCGATTATTTTGTGATACCTCCAAAGTCCAAACTAAGCATTTGATTACGTGAGTTTTGCGAGCTCCATGCTGAATCCGTGGACAAGTAACGACGAATTACTTGTAAGTAAGTTGAAGGATAAATTCACGAATGTACAGGCAATCGAACTGAACATTCTTGGGTTTGAGAAGAGTATCCAGGAGCCCAGGGAGACAATCAGCGACTACATGACCCGACTGCAAATGACGGTGAAAGAGGCATACGACGGAGATAGCCAATTAGACCTCGACAGAAGGGTAGCATGGAAGTTTGTTAGTGGATTGGGGGACGAGAGGATCAAGCGGAAGCTGCTAGAGGGTGGCTGGATGAAATCACGGCAAGAGGCGAAACCCCTGGAGGACCTCCTGAAGGTAGCGGATATAGCAAAGAAGACGGACGACGCAGTAAAAGCCATGGGTAAGGAGACCGGCAGCATCAACGCAGCACAAGAATATTCGGTTAGCGCGTGGGAGCAAAAGTCATCGTCACATGCTGGAGACAGGAGGAAGCAATCGTCCGGCGAGTCAGGCCGGTCAAACAGGAGCAGCAGTTCGAGAGGAAGTGGTGAATCATCAGACGGGCTACCACTAGAATTCCTTGAATGCTTCTACTGTAAAAAGAAACACCGAGGGGATGGTTTCACTGCGCAGTGCGAAAGAAGGAGGACCCTACGTGGAGACCGGCAAGAAGAGGTGACAAGGCTGGAAGAGGAAGGGGTACGGATTTTCGGTAGAGCCCCCTATAGACGGGCAGAGTGATGGGGGCGGGGAGAATACTGGAGAGCAACCTAGCAGCAGAGAAGGGGAGGAGCATGACGTGAAACCTTGGGCATGTGCCAGAGCCCAGTTTCGGGTCATTACTCCTGAGAAGGGTGGTAAAGGACGGCGGAAGCAGTTACAACAGATGAAGGGGATCGCTTCAGAGGGTCTGAACTCGACACCATATATTAGGATTAAGTGGGAGAATGGAGTTGAGGAAACTGCACTGTTCGATACAGGGGCCCAGTGGTCATTAATATGTGAGGACTTACTTACAGAACAGGAGAAGGCCACAATGGAGAAATCGGCGTTATGTGGGAGAGGAGTATCCGGCGAAAGAATACCTGTCACGGGAGAGATACGAAGAACTGTCTCTGTGGGTGGACTGACTTTTGCCCACCAGCGATTCATTGTGGTTGAGAAGATGATCTGCTCGATGATATTGGGGATAGATTTCTGGTCTAGGATAGCCAACATATCATTTGACTTCAACAAGAGTGTGATGACTATCAATGGTAACAGTGAAGAGATAGAGTTGCTATGCCACCCAGCCGCAGGCAGGAGCAGCGTCGCAGGGACCATTGAGGAGGAGAACTCAGTGGAAGTGGTAGTGGATACCGAACGTAAGATCCCGACCAGGAGTGAAGCGTTAGTGACATGTTACATCCCCAACATGGAGATGGGTAAGGAGTATATGGTTCAACCAATAACGTTTGACGATAAGCTAGTAAGCACACCTTACGGGATTGTTCAGGGAACAAAGAGCGGTAAGGTACAGATCAGGGTAGCAAATCTAGGAGAGGAAGAAGTGACCCTGGCAGAAGGGGATCCCATTGCTACAGTTGAACTCGGGACCGTATGGGTATCAAACCACAATGCGGGTAAAGCGTTCACCAGGGATACAAAGAAAGGCAAAGCAACGGAATTGAGCGAGTTGGTGTGCAGTGAGCTGGAGCCGAGCAAGAGGGGTCAATTAATAGGACTTCTAAACAGATATGAAGGTGTGTTCTATAAGGGAGGAGAGCTGCCTATTGTTAGAGTGGGTGTGGAGCACACCATAAGGCTGAAAGAGGACAGCTCACCAGTAGTGAGCAAACCGAGGAGGTTGTCAAAAGAGTTAGCTGATGAAGTCCGGGAACACGTCGATGAGCTACTCAAACAAGGAGTAGTCAGGGAATCCAACAGCCAATGGGCATCACCCATAGTGTGTGCACGCAAGAAAGACAGGAGCCTGAGGATGGCGATTGATTATCGGATAACCAATGAGAAGTCAAATACAGTGACTTTACATCCAATACCGCTCATTGACGATCTTTTGGACAGGCTGGGGAAGGCTAAGTACTTTGCAGTCCTTGATGCAAAGTCGGGATACCACCAGTTACCACTACGAAAGGAAGATTCGGAGACAACGGCATTTGTAGTACCATGGGGGCATTATGAGTTTGCAGGAAGAACCCCGTTTGGTTTGAAAGGTGCAGGATATTCGTTCCAAAGGATGATGTCAGTGATCTTGGGGAGTTCAAACTTCGTCGATGCACTGTGCTATTTGGACGACATCCTAGTCTGGGGGGAAACTTGGGAGGTATTCATGAAACGGCTCAAGAAGGTGCTGGAAAAGGTGAAGGATGCAGGCCTGGCCTTGGCATCGAAGAAGTGCCAGTTTGGAGTCAGAGAAGTCAGTTACTTGGGATGCACCATCAAAGAAGGCATGGTGAAGATAAACGAACAGAGAGTGCAGCAACTGAGGAGCATAGAGCGCCCTCATAATGTACGAGAGCTTAGAAGGGCTTTAGGTGCGTTTGGCTACGTGCAAAGGTGGCTACCAGGATGGTCACAGATTGCCAGGCCATTGTATAATGCGATCACGGACCAGCCGTATGCCCGGCTGAAGTGGACGGAGGAAATGAATGAATCATTTTCAACAATAAAGAAATTGATTGCGGACGCAGTGTCGTTGAGTTTGCCCGACATGGATAAGCCATTCACCTTAGTAACAGACTGTAGTCAAATGGCAGCGGGAGCCATGCTGGCACAGAGGTGCATGGAAGCACCGGATACCCTGAAGCCTGTGGCATTCTACCACCACGCGTTATCCAAAGCAGAACAGGGATACTCAGCTACCGAGAAGGAGTTGTTGGCGATGGTTAAGGCGGTAGTGAAGTTCAGAGTGTATCTAGGCAAGCAGTTCAACCTTATTACGGACCACCAAGCACTGAGTTGGCTTCGTTCACTTGAACCGGAGAATGAGACGGGGAGAAGGGGACGTTGGTTAGACCTGATTCAGCAGTTTGACATGAAAGTCACTCATAAGAAAGGGAAAAGCCCAGAGATGAGAATAGCTGATTACCTTTCACGGGTCAAATGTGACGGAAATGTAGCTGTGAAAGACCGTAGCGAAGTGTTTGTCGTGATGACCGCTGGAGGCGAGGAGGCGATAACTGTCAGTCGAGAACAGATCCTGAGCGAGCAGAGCAATGACGCAGCAGTACAAACGATGCGTAAGGCGGTTTTGAAAGGAACAGATCTGAACCCCGGGAATAGCGAATCAGAATCGTGGAGGAAGCCCAGCGGGAGCAACGATGAAGAAGTCAAAGCGATGTGGAAGCATAGGGACAGGATTTTCATCGACTCAGAGGGGATATTAAGATTACGGTTCAACGGGGGAAAGAAGCGGGAAAGCAACCCCTTCGGAACAGTGGAAAAGAACAGGATAATAGTTCCTAAGACGTACAGGGACAAAATTATGAATCTTGTTCATAGGAGTGCTACAGCGGCTCATATGGGGAACACACGCACCTGGAAGAGGGCACGAGATAACTTTTGGTGGCCGAACATGAGGCAAGACATAGAACAATACGTTCAGGCATGTGAAGAGTGTGGTCTGAACAAACACGTCAACAACCCGAACAAGGCGCCAGTGTCCAAGACGAGTATACCCGGAAAACCTCTGGAGGAGATGATGCTTGATTTTCTTGGTCCATTCCAGACAGCGAGGGAGCATCCATACAGGTACGTCCTCCAAATGCAAGATGTGTTTAGTCGATTCATAATCTTTGTACCGACCATTGATGCAAGAGCAAAAACGGCAGCAGATGCAGTGGTCGAAAGATGGATAAGTCTTTTCGGGATCCCGGAAAAGATGAGATCGGATAGAGGTCCACATTTTATTGCAGAGGTGTTCGAGGAACTGTGTAAAAGAGTGGGTATCAGACACAAGTTGGGTTCACCGGGACACCCCCAGAGCCAGGGGCAAGTAGAGAGGCAGAACCAGTTAATGAACCAGATCAGATGCCTTTGCGAGAACGATGGGGAGAAGTGGCCGGAGGCCTTATACCTGGTACAAGGGAGCCACAACAACTCGATCAACGCTACAACAGGTTTTACTCCAGCTAGGCTTTTGTTTGGCAGGGATTTTAACCGACCAGACGACATGATTGCTCAGGAGAGGGATAAGGTGAAGAAGCCTGGAACAACTGTATTGGAGGAGAGGGACGAAGAATGCAGACTGTTGACTGAGCAAGCACGAACAAACCTGGTCGAATATCAAGAGGAGAGAGTGGAATCAGCAGAGAAAGAAGGACCCTGCAAAACCCCGTACGAAGTAGGCGACTTGGTGCGTTATAGGCTCACGGACGAAGCAAGGAGCAATAAAGGCGGGAAGACATCCCCCCGCTACTCGGAGCCGTACAGGGTAACAGTGATCAAGGGTGACGGATATACTTACACGATGGAGCCAGTGGATAAGGACAGTAGAGGCACGCGTAAAGATAGACGGTTCAACTACTTGAAAACGCACAAGAGAGTAGTGAGCAGTGAAATGGCTCCGGAGCCAGACAGCCCTACGATGACACAACCCCAGCGAGATGAACTACACCCTCAAGTGAACGACGGTGTTCCGGAGGTCATGGAACAGTCCCCGGTAGCTCCACCTGATGCGGCGCTAACCGTTCGGAGATCTGGGAGGACTAGGAATCCAGTGAGGTTACTGCAGGCGGACGGGAAGAAGAAGCGGTACGAAGATGCAGAGGTCAGCGGACAACCAGACGCAGATGAGGATTGATGGAATTTGGGGTATTTCAGAGGGTAATAGGACAATTGGGACATGATAGAAGTGATACAAATATGTTATACTATTTATCATGACTATTGGATTAATATGATACATAACGATATTATATTATACATGACAGTCAATTCATGACCGTCATTTTGTTATAACACGAGGAACGGACATTATTATTATCATGAGGGACATTATTTACATGATTAATAATATATTATTGACAATGAGAATCTTGTTATAACGTGATGAACAGACATTATTATAATCATGAGGGACGTTATTTACATGATTAATAATATTTTATTGACGATAAGAATCTTGTTATTACGTGATGAACGGACACTATTATTATCATGAGGGACATTATTTACATGAATAATAATATTTTATCACGTTGGACTTTTACCCCAATGTCAATATCCAGCTTATTGATTGGGAAGGATGTAAAGGATACGCAGATAGATAACGATTCAAATAAGTATCATTTGGAAAGACGTCTAGTAACATACATTGGAAGATAACGTGGAATCTGAGATATGAGGAGTGTTATGATTGTTACTAACAATGTTACTTATCTTAGCATGGAGCTTTAGCTCACTCTTATTACAAAGGTAAGAGCAAGTCATTTCAGTTTGACTGAATGAAAACAGGTTTTTCAGTAAAAACAGGATTTCAAAGGCCAAATGTCGCGTGGACTAAATCAATATTTATTTTAGAATAAGAAGATGTCAACACGGAGACATAGGATACTTTACAAAATTTACAAAATTTCTTTAGTGAAAAAAACGTGTGCTCAAATAATTATTAATTTGTATCTTTAAATGAACTAGCTGCAAAAATGAATACGAGTTAAAAACTCTTGATCAGATCAATTCTCTTACTTGAAGAAGGTCACGTTTTCCTGAATAACAGCATAGTTCATAGTTTTCTACTTTACTAAATCTGCTCATCATAAAAACACTTCGGATTTAGGAATCAGCACGATTCCTAACAGGCAGTAGAAGAGCCGTTGCAACCCGAAAGTTTAATCTGTAATACTTTAATGTTTCGAGTATCTCAAACGGCAGATTCGCTCAGCATCCTGTATTTTTGCATCTAGCCGTATGTGACAAGTTTCGCGAATGCCGGTTTTTCTGGAAATTTGGCGCGTAAAATTGATAAATTCAAAAATGTACGTGGCGTAATAAGAGACATAAAATAATATAATTTACATAAATAAGATTTCATTAATATTGCAAATGATGTTGGTTAGAAATTGGATGATTAGATAACAAAAATCTGCACAATCTGCACAAATCTCCATTATGTAAATCAATTTGTGGAGAATATGGAGACGGCATATCGTACTGAATGAATTATTAGCTTCTACATTGTACCGCAAGAATTGATAGTGTGTTTATTGATTAACTATTAAATTAAGAGATAATTAATCTAACTACCTCTGCTAGTGGTGCTACAGTCTGGACAAGCCAAACACGGGATCTATCTACTCCCTGGATTGGTCACGTGACAGCACGTTAGTGGCAGGGGGCTGTGGTAACGGTCACGTGATCTTTGCGGGAGTTGTCAACCAGACTATCGAGTGGAAACATCTGGTAGTTACTCTTCAAGAAGAGGTAAGAATTTATGGAATTCAGACTTTTAATGATCTTTTCATGAAGTCAAAAACTAGTAAACGTGGCCAAAAAGTTTATAATTATCTGAAGGAAGCTGGAGACACCACCGGCGGTGTCTCTAGCTTCCTTCAGAAAATTATAAACTTTTTTTATTTTGTAAGTATATGTACCAGCCCTCAGTATTCATCCTGAAAAGGTGTAACCTGAAAAGTGTAACCTGTTCTCACTATTAATCAACCCTCAGAAAGTGTTACTTGTGGAAGATGTGGTGAACAACACTAAAGATCAGCTAGAGTTTAGAGACAGAGTCGTTAAAATGAGTTTGGGTGAGTTTATAGTTCGTAATAGTATTACCTCAAGGGTGTATAATTGCAGTGTTTTATATATAGCATTAAAACCGTCACTGATCGATGCTGCGTGAATCGAACAGTTTCTGGAAATTATTGTATAGAATTTAGTTGATCCGGTTATCATTAAATGCGGAATCCGATTTCCATTTTTAAAATGTCCTGGACGACAACGAACCACTTAATGATTAAAACTATGATAATGAACTATAATGTACATTGTACAACGCGAATGAATTACATAACTGTACCTATCTCCAGGGTGGGATCACCTGGTGGTGACCACTTCCTCGCAGTGTCTTATCTACAGCACTACTAACTGGAACACTCCCCTTATATTCGACCTCAAGGGGCTCACCACTAGTGCTATCCTACTGGCTAAGAAACTGTTTCTTATTGTCGACTCAGTGCAAGGTAAAGTTAAGGGTACAGCTGGCTGCTGGGTTGTCAATAATGAATAAGTACTATTACTTACAAGGCTGATCCCGTTACTCTATTCTTTTCCTAATAACTATAATAGTTAAAATTTACGAGTTTCTGTTTAGCTGTTTGAGCTTTACTAATATTACGGTTAACATGCCCTCATTGCGCTGATAAGGTGTTAATATTGATCTCAATACAAATTATAACCTGATAAAGTGTTAACATAGTGTTATAAACAGAGTGTTAATATAGCGCTTTGTCTCCGGCTTGTCAATAAAATGTTTTTTGTCAGGTTTGTCGGTGTACTCATATGAAGGTAGGATGATATGCTCTCCCAAGTACAGTGGTATCAGAACAGACTCCCTCAATGTGAACAATATAGCAATCAGCAGTGACACCCTCGTGCTTGTAGATAGCAGGGATAGCAGAGGTAAGTTAGCGAAGTTAATTAATTAGTTGGTTAATTAGTTAATTTCTTATCTTATTGTCTTATTGTTTTCATATTGTTATTTGCGTGGAAGTTCTAGTCTGGCCTAATTTTTCATAATAATTTGTTTCAAACCTAACCATAATTAGCGAGACTCTACAAATAGAAGATTACTCATATAAGTTGAAATAAGGTCAATATTCTGATGGTTAGGAATTAAAGCAGATCTAATATATCTATATTATATTTTAAACTTGACGAAATTTCCCCGGCAACGGGGACATAGAAGAAAAAACACCGAAAATCGACCTCAAAATGACCCTCTGGTGATGCCAAACCCAGCTCGCAAATGGAGTTGAAACCTCGCCATTTTTAGCAGGGTTGTAGAAAAAGGATAGGAATAGGCTATAGCATTCTTAGAATTTTGATTTAGGCTTTAGATTTTTTATAATTAACGTCGGAAGTGAGGTTAAATAATCGTTAGAATAATGGCGTTATTTAAGCAAAGGTTTACTGCGCTGTTGCGTAGCAACGATAAAAATGCACGTGCGCGAGCAACCACAGATTAACAACGCGTTGTTATGCTGTATGATACGCCATAATTTCAAAACTAGCTCACATTTACGCTCACGCTATGACTTCTTATAACTTTGTTTGTGATTGCAATATTTTGATGCAGTAAAAAGTATCGATACTTTTTTTTCGATACTAAATTCGCTAGAGCTACACACAATGCTGACATGACGCCGCGCACACACAATCAACAAAAATATTGTTGTTTTCTAATTACGCAAATAACTTTGCGCAGTTAAACATTTTAATTGCCTGGCAATAATTCAATTGACTGTCATTCTCGATTGAAATATCAGAATTTCACAACTAGCTCACATTTACCCTCATGACGCTATATAATTATACCTATATATATTTATAACTTTGGTTGTGATTGAAATTTTTTGATGCGGTAAAAAGTATCGTTTTGGGGCTATATGATGAAGAGAAATTAAAACATAACTGATGCTTAAAATTTCCTCGAACAAAGCTTTCGACTAGCGGCGGGTTTCTAGTTATATTATATTTTACCGCAAGAAATCGTCGACTTGTCTAAAAGTAGCCAGAAAATTAAAATATGTTGCGCGGAACTAAGTTATCGTTAAGTTACCGACGCTACTTTTCCGGTCACTCCCTGATTGAAAATAAATAAATTAAGATCGCATACAGTACTCCGAATTAATACGCCGGAAGGCCATGTAAATAGATTAAATATTTGTTTCTGCAGCCACATGTTGCAAGAGACAAGACCTCGTCAGATAGTATTAGTATGATACTCTACTGATGATTTTAAAATTAACTTTATCTGAAAAACGTGTTATCGGAACGAAAAAGGGCTTTGTTTAATTCCTTTTAAGGAAATATCATAGACCTGTACGATTCAAGAATTTCTTGTTTAAAAATTTGAACGTGGCTGGTTGGACTGACTTAATCGATAAACGAATTTTGGGGCAAAATGACCTAATTACCGATTATCAAAATAATTCTATCATAGCATACAACTCTGTTTAAATATTTTAACCATTAGATAAGGGTTTCTGGGCTGCTGATAAATTAAATAATTGTTTGTTCCGTCACCTTCTAGAACACAGAACTTGCAAGGCCTGACACACACTTTCACGGCTGATAATTTCTGCAGAAATTATGATTATCTCAAAGTATGTCACGAAATAACTCTCGAAACCAAAAGTATCTTCAAAAGTTCCGTAAAAGTAGATTTCTTTTACTTAGCATTAGATCACCGTAATTCAAGAATTACTTGTTAAAATAACTTGATTAATTACTGGTTAAGATATCCTTTATATGGCTGGCGATGATGGGAGGTGAGTTAAAAAAGGAAAACTTTAGAAAAAATCCGGTTCATAAAATAGGGCTTAAAATAAGTACAGAATGCAATTCTAACAGTTGATTCTGAAAGTAGATTTATAATTTTAAAAACCTTGACGAATCAGCTTTCTACAGGGAATAATGATTAACAAAACATACAATTGTTATTTCTCTGTCACGTGTACAGATAAATATACATTATAATACGATCCTCTTTTGTTTGTCATACATGATAAAACAGTCTGATCACGTGTTTGGCTCTAATCCAATAACTCCTTGTTTCAGCGTATCACGTGTTTGACGTCAACACGGGGAGAGAACTTACAGATAAACCCCTATACCACTCACAAGAGCTGATGAATGTAGCTTTAGACCAGTACGGGTCTACCAATGAGAGGTGCCTGGGTTTCGTGGATAAGAATAATGATCTCTTTCTGGTCCAGATCCGACACAGTAACCCTCTTACTAAACTCAAAAAGTTAGGTGAGTAGGTAATACGGTTAAGATGTTTTGTATTTTTATACATGATGATATCTTGCCAAACCGTGTTTTGGGATTTTATACATCAAGTTAGCCAAAATGAGTAATTTCGGAATTATGGCAATCCAGTACTAATATACTAATATAACAGTCTGTCAAATTAATACAATGTATAATGTACAATGTATAATGTACATTCATAGTCTAAATTCTAGATCGACCTGTTCTACAATATAAATATACATATTATTTTCTTGTAGCGAAGAGACGTTCAGATTCGAAATATCAACCTCACCCTTTCTCGAGAATAAACTGTTAATAGAAAAGTGGCCCAGTTCCATAAGACTTCTGCTGTCTACTATCTTCTACTAGACTATTAGATAAGGGAAATGGAGAAAATTGGCTTATTTTCCAGTACTCGCGTCATTCTAGAAAATTTTTTGCTATGAAGAAAGGAGACCGAAAGCTGAGAATAGAACCATATTTTGATATACTTAACTGATAAGAAAATTCGGAGAGAAAATTGCGATACTTCCAATTATCACGACTGTTATTCTATTGATGTATTTTCGGGACCCTTATGATGGGCTGGTTCGGGGCCTTTTGATAATCAAACCAGGTTATTGAATTAGCCTCAAATAAGATTCTAAATTTTCACAACAGAACGGATTTTGCATGATAAACTTCAGTTCTGTGATTATACTGATGAGTAATGAATGTGAAGGCCTAGAATTACAGTTACAGTTTGGTAATGAAAACAAACTTATTCTCTCCTTGACGGATTTAAATTCGAGCTTGCTTAAAATCTTGGGCTGAGGGAATCTCATCTTTCTTCCTACATGAATGTGGTCCAAAATCATAAATGTTAGCAGACGTCGATCAAAATAACTATTTTTAGTTCCCAGTATAAAGACCATCTTATTGTCAGCATGGGTCAAAGTAGCAGTCCACTATTAGCGCCTGATCTTAAAATCACAAAAGTTCCCACTTTTGTCACGTGACTAATACTTTCTCGTCACCTGACTAATATTCCTCCTCAGGTGGAATGGTTACCACCATAATGTGGCACGATACCACCAACATGTTGTCAGCACTACAAGATGGTCGCTTCACCGTGTGGTACTACCCCAGAGCTGTGTATATTGACACTGAACTACTCCCTCAGAGTAAAGTCTTCAAAGATGCTGGGTTCGTTTCTTAATTAATTAATTGGCTAATTAACTTTATTAACTTACCATGATATATTAATGTTATCTATTAATCTTATCAACTAGTGGTTGATTTTGCTTCACCGTAAAATTGATTCACTCGACTATGGGTATATGGGAATGTTTGATACAAGTTTTCTTTGACATGTAGCCATTGCTATTTTATAATAGTTGCTGCTGCAAACTGATTGGTTGATCACTGTCAACTGTCTAATCAACCCTGAACTCGCTTTTAAACTGATGTTTTTAACCATATTGTTTTTAGTCATATCATTATGTTATTAATCATATTGTTTTTAATCATGTATTATCATGTTTTTCCACAGAGAGTTTGGTAAGAACCCCGAGATAGCCAGTTTCCTTGGTCACCACTGTACTCTGAGGAGATCAGACGGCAGCCTCGTGTCCACTGCGTTAGTTATTATTCTGCTATTATTCTATAATTAATAATAATAATAAATTGAAGTTTGATAGCACGACTATTAAGGCAAAACACTCAGCAGTGTTTAATTTAAAAATCCAAGAAATGTACAGTTATACAGAGACAGTATTGTAAAAAGAGACTTTAGATTTCAGTTTTAAATTATGATATTTCTTCGAAAGGTAATTAATCTTATTCCCATCACATAATTTTAAGTGAATTAAACCCCACAACTGTTATCAGGGTGAGCCCCTACCCCACAATTCTACAGAACTACGTGTCCAAAACCAGTTGGGATGATGCCGTGAGACTCTGTAGGTTCGTCAAGGATGCAGCCCTGTGGGCTAGTCTGGCTGCCATGGCTACTGCTGCTAAGGAACTGAACACAGCAGAGATTGCGTACGCTGCTATCAACGAGGTAGGATAATATGTTCTAGAACATATAGAGTTGATGATTGATGAATTAACAACGAGAGATAGCATACGCTGCTTTTACGTTTTCAAGATGTGTGTCCTTATTTTATTTAACAGAATCTAGAAGTAAATAACTCATCCGAACCTTCCAGACGAATGAAGATTCAAGAACTTCGTGACTAACTCTTCATTAATCTATCACGAGTTCAGGAAAAGAGAAAATTTTGTTCTAGAATACTGATCTCATTGTTAATTCACCAATCATCAACTCGATTGATGTTCAAGAACCATATGAATATGTCGCGAACTTCTCTAAATCCCCCAAATTAGCCTTGCCACTAACCATTTGATTAATAAACGATGAGTCAGCGTATGCTGATATTGATGCGGTAACATGTTTTCTGGAATAAAAGTCTGTCTTTTCATGAGCTCATGATAGATTAATGACAAGAAAATCACGAAGTTCTGAATCTTCATTCATCTGGAAGGTTCGAATGGGTAATTTACTTCTGGGGCCGGATATTGGAACACATCCCAACTTACCTCTTGGCAAAGAGAGGGTTATAGAGGCAGAATGTTCTGGAATATAATATTAAACCTTAAGGCCACAGGGGGGGGGGGGGGGGGGTCGAGGCCTCAAAAAATGCAAAAAAACATTATGCTTTGAATCAATATATATTTTTGTGGTGGATACTTTGCCACCACTCATTTGTCTGTAGCTATTTTACTTTTTTTTATAAATGAGGTTAACCAATTCTCATTTAACCTCATTTTTTTGATAAATCGATAATGGAGGGCAGAAATATTGATGCCATTACGACTGAAAACTACGATAAGCTTTGTTTTTATTGTTTTTGTGTTATTTCAGCAGTTAAACTTTAAAAAATATATGTAAATAAAGGCAAAATTCTCAAAAATCACATATTTTGCCTCTCCTGAAAACCTCGAATTTTTGACTTCAAAATCTATCTTCTCCTAGAGTTTTTATCCATTTCACCTCAAATTTGGAACTTATGTTCCTGACATAAATTTAAAAGTTTGTTATGTATCGATTGTTGTAATTTTGCTCCTAACTCTTTTTATGAGGTTAACCATTTTAAATTTTGTAACCCGCACTCATGGTTAACCTCATATCTCAGCTTTGGAGCAAGATGCCATAAATCGTTACATAACAAAAACTCAAAATACCTTGAAGAACATTGTTGCCAAGTTACAAGGTTCTAAGTCATAAACTGAAAAAGAAGATAGATTTTGAACACGATTTCATTTAAAGTTTTCATTTACAATAGAATTACAGGTAAACCTCAAAATTCAACGCGCGATATCTTCAAATAGGAAACTTTGTTTTCGGTAAGGACAAAAGCATTTGAAAATTTAGATCGAGCTCTACAATATATCTCAAAATCTCAAAATCGACCTCGGACCCCCCCCCCCCCCCTGTGGCCTTAACTCTTAACTTTAAGTCACACGAAACATAATTATAACATGAATAGGATTATTTGATATGTAATGTCCTCAAGATATGGAAGCTCATTTTATTATAGCAGATTGTTTGATTTTATCATCAGTCGCTCATCAATCTTAACGTCAAACTCTTTATCTCAATGTGACAGAACTCCAGTTTCTTAAGAAACCATTGTATTTGAACAATCTCGCCAGTCATCATATGAAAATGTCACGAACTTGAAGTATTTCACTCCCTAAAAATGTCACTACATCAATATCTGGCCTTCTCAAAATCTCCGGAATTAACTTTGACACTAACCCGAACCGATTGATGTGTTAACGATGAGGTCAGTATTCTAGAACATATAGAATTCTGTCTTTTCTGAGCTCGTGATAGATTAATGACGAGAAAATTACGATTTTCTTGAATCTTCATTCGCCTGGAAGGTTCGAATGAGTAATTTACCTCTGGAGCCGGATATTAGAAATTGTCTCCTACTCACTCTCGTAGCCTTGAAGGCTATACATCTGAAGATATGATTATCTTGGGGAAAAGAGGGTAGAGTCAGGAGGTTCTAGAATTTAATTTGGCCTTCTCAAAATCTTCCAAATTAACGTCGCCTAACCTCACTTAACCAGAACCTCACCTAACCTCACTTAACCAGAACCTCACCTAACCTCTCTTAACCAGAACCTCACCTAACCTCACTTAACCAGAACCTCACCTAACCTCACTTAACCAGAACCTCACCTAACCTCACTTAACCAGAACCTCACCTAACCTCTCTTAACCAGAACCTCACCTAACCTCACTTAACCAGAACCTCACCTGACCTCTCTTAACCAGAACCTCACCTAACCTCACTTAACCATAACCTCACCTAACCTCACTTAACCAGAACCTCACCTAACCTCACTTAACATCACATAACCTCACCTAACCTCATTGTCTACAGACGGAAAAGGTAGAGTACATCTCTTACATAAAGGACATCTCGAACAAAGCAGCCCGGAACGCTGAGATGTCCCTGTTCTGTAAGCAGACTGCTGAGGCTGAAGGGACCCTGTTGCAGGCAGGCCTCGTTTACAGAGCCATCAGACTCAATGTGGACCTCTTCAGATGGAACAGGTGATACTCTTTAAACTTGCGGAGAGTAATTCTCACTTTTCACGAAATATCGGTTTAAAACGCAATAAAAATTTATTAATTTTAGTAAATAATTAAAGTTATTTATAAGTTAACAATAAGTAAATAATTTGTCTGATCTCATTGAAGAGATGGAAGAAATAGTAGGGGTTATATAGCTAGGGGTTAGTCTGAGAACAACGTCATTACTTTCTCATCGTTGAAAAAACAGCATACGGGAGTTGGGAATAGCAGTGCTTGTTCAAAGTTCTCAGAAAACTATGTATTAATTGTTCTTTAACGTGAGTACAATCTCAGGGCGCTGGAGCTAGCTGTAAAGCACAAGACACATGTAGATACAGTGCTGGCCTACAAACAGAAGTATCTCCAGGACTTCGGGTTAGAGGAGTCAGACAATGTCTTTCTTCAATACAGGTTATTATATTAGTAAGCGGGTACAAATACAGTGACTAACTTACCAGATCCCCCCCCCCCCCCCCCACTTCAGCCGTCGTGTATTTACTTAGTGTTTGATTCCTGAATCTCAAGTTTCTCTGAAATGGAACTGTCTACGCAGTACTACGACAGTTGTAGTACTGCGTAGACAGTAGTATATAATCTCAAAAACATCCGACTGTCTCTGTAATATGAAGAAGAAGAGCCAATTTCATTTTAAAGTTGTTGATAAACTTGGCCCAATGGCCTTTGACCAAACCCAGTCCGTGCAGCTTTAATTGTATTATGGTTGGTCAAATATTTCCATATCTCTGAATTCGCTAATGCTATTTGCACAAAGATATTTTAGCGTGTGTTATCTGTACTGGGTTCAGATTCAACATGAACACGTTACAGATCTACAAAGTTCACAATACAGAGCAAAATTCCATTTACTGAGAAATCTGGCAAACTTTTAATATCAATAGACAATTGCTTTCATACAGATCCACCTTTCTTGTTTGTAGAAGGATGTGGAATGATTGAGGGTGCTTATCAATGAGTAAAACTTTTGTTGTTACTATTTTTACGTCAGATAAACAGTTAATTAGATAACTAGCTAATTACATACCTAATTATCAAACATTTTTATAACTGTTATTGGCTTAAAGTGATAGAAATTGCATAAAACGAGGGTAAAAGTAGTTTTTGGAAAGACTTTTGATATGCAGCAGTATATACTAAAGTTTTAAGCAACAGATAGCTAATAACTTAACAACTCTGTTGCCTAATCTTTCTCACAAACTGAAAGAAAATCTGTATTAAATTGAAGTCTTCTCCAAAGAATTTTGTTCAACGCTAAGTTTCATAAATATTATCTGCAGAAAACAATGTCGCAAGATATCTGCATTCTGATCAGGGAGCACTTTTAGAGACCAAGTGATCAAGAGATCAAGAGATCAAGACTGTAGGCTGTACCAATATACAAAAGTTTGTCCAAAATCAATGTAGTTTTCCAGATAGTTGTATTGGGTGACCAAAAGTTCAAGACATTCAAGAGTATCATATACTAACTTTTGATTATGGAATTTTTTCAAAAGTTCGTATGTGAGCCTGGTCTCTTATTACTCATGACTACGAGAATCGGTTTATAAGTTTGGCTAACTATTTCTAACATGTCATTTGCTACAGAAAAATAAAAATAAAAAATATATAGAGATGATACCTGCTTAACAAAATGTTCAATCGTTAACATTAGTTCTGGTTGGGATCTTAAAACCCTTGAACACTGCAATTATGGCTCGAAATTTCAATTCTTCAGGTCAAAATCATTACCTGACGTGGAATTTCTCCTGGTACAGAAGGAATGCCAGTGCCCAGTGCCTATCGAGTAAGAATAACCGTTACCACACAAAAGTATTACTTGACGTAGCGTTCCTTATCGAATGAATTTAGGTTGAAATGTTTGTACTTTGTAGAACAGTCCCCGAACAAGAAGTACCACATGCAGGACACGCTCGATAAATTCGGTAACCTGGTTATATCATTAAGCAGGGAGGGTAGCACGAGAAGAGTTTTTGCAAAATAAAATTATATCTGTGCAGAATGTGACCAGTATCTAGTGATAACTTAACTAGATTCTTGGCCTGTGTCACCTTCTTTTTGTTTTTTTTTTCTGCGAAATCGTAAACTTATCTAATTCAATTTTCAATCAAATTCAATTTTATCGGCATTCGGCGTCAAATGCAGAAAGTGTGAAACATATTGCCAAATGTGCGGAATACAAAGATAAATATTGATCTTTGATAAATTCAATAGTTTTTATCCCCTATTGGTAGAATCAAATGTGAATAAACAATGAACATCTACAAGCCTTTATCACATGTCATTTTTTGTTGGGGACCGGCCCGAAGTACCAGTTTACTCAAAAAATAATATATATAATAAGTGTTATCAATTCAAACTCAAAACTCACACAAGATTAGATCTCATTAAAACGATTAACCGGCCCGAAGTACCAGCCAATGTTTACTCAAAAAATAATATATATAATAAGTGTTATCAATTCAAACTCAAAACTCACACAAGATTAGATCTCATTAAAACGATTAACCGGCCCGAAGTACCAGCCAATGTTTACTCAAAAAATAATATATATAATAAGTGTTATCAATTCAAACTCCCGAAGTACCAGCCAATGTTTACTCAAAAAATAATATATATAATAAGTGTTATCAATTCAAACTCAAAACTCACACAAGATTAGATCTCATTAAAACGATTAAAATGTATATATCATGTAGCTTCTCGAACAAAACATAGCTGAGCACATATAAAGTTGCCTTTAGTTGAAATTATCATATTTCAACTAAAGGCAACTTTATATATAATGCTTTCATCAATGTGCGAAGTCAATTAATGTGGGGGGGGGGGGGGGGTCATGAGTATTTTTGAGAATTTTTGAATCTGAGAAATTAACCATTTTCGCCGGAAATACTCAATTGTCTCAAAAATTATTTTTGAATCTGAGAAATTCATCATGGAAATTTCTCATTTTCTCAAAAATTGTCCACTCAAAAATAGTGATATACCAAATCATTCTTCATATCAATGCAATGTGGTCCAAAAATACCCAAAACCAATTTTTGAGAATGAGTTTTTCGCCTCTCCTGGAAACTTTTCTCAACATAATTTTTGAGAATGAGAATTTGGCATTTTCGTCGGGACTCTCAAAAATGCTCAGGACCCCCACCCCCCCCCCCCCCCCCCCCCCCCCCCCCCATGTTGATTGCTTAAGGTTTAAGATTCGCTTCGTAAGATCAACAATCAACATTGACAGAAAACTTGATTATCAGCAGTGATTCACAGCTCACATATTATCATTTTAAAGGAAATATCATGTTCATTATATCAATATATAGATTGATTGTTTTGCACACATTTTGCACAACTGCGGCAGTTGTGCAAAATGTTGAACTGCCAACACATTTACGCTCTATTATGATCGGATAAGTAATCAAATTTGTCTATAAATTCAGGAAATTGAATCTTGTAATGGAATTTCATATCCATATATACTGATTACAATCATTGGGGCCAAACGTATAACACTTTGTTGTCATGTCGTCACCAATATCATGGCCTGGGTACGGATCATGTAATGCTATATTTAAATTCCATGAGCTCATGGTCTTACATTCACAGCTCAATATGATTTATATCTCATGTTCCAATCACAGGATATACATTATACAGTACACACAGATACGATGGAATATATCGGCTGGAAAATTTCGCCTAGTCAAAACTTTTCCTTGGCAGGGTAGACTGGGAAATTATTCGACACCCAATCAGTCTAACCTGTTATCTTCCAAACAGCAACTTCACCCAAAACGTCTGAACTGTGTTACATTTCCGAGACTAATCAGCTACATAATCCTGTGTAATCGTGTGTATCACATCACACTCTTTAATACAAAACGTCTACAGCTGTAGGCACCCAATTAGCACTATAATAACAGTAGATATGATCTTCAGTGGACCCAATTAGCGACCCTCCTGTATGACTCTCATGACTGCTCCAATAACTGGTGCAGATCTCGTGCAAGGTGCTGACTCAGAACATCTAGAGTTGCAATACAAGGACTGGAGCTGAGTTTCGTATCTCCAGTGCTGTTTGTTACACCTGTTATCCGATTTCTTATCTCGGCTGATTAGCTAATTGAGGGTTATTCATAAGGATCATCTCTCTGCATCTATGTATCTATCGTTTCATTTCCACTCTGATTAATTTGTTTCTGCCATGTTACTTCAACTGTTCAAGTCACTTTTCACCCTTGAATTCCGCCGACATTTCAAGATAAAACAGAAGGTCGGAGCAGGAGGATTTGGTAAAGTGTACGTGGTGGCTCGAAAAGCAGACTCCAAACTTCTTGCAGCTAAGAAACTGAAGAAATCAAAGATCAGCCATCTAGCCCAGACAAAATCTCAAGGACTCCTCCCTCTAGAAATCTACTGTCTCAACGGACTGCGACACGACAATATCATCCAAGTTCATGGATACGTTCAAACGAGATACAACTGGTTCATCATGATGGAGTACAGTCAGGGTTCTGTAGATTTATTCGATTTCATCAAGAAAAGAGGCCCCCTCTCGGAGAAACTATCACGTGACATATTCCTACAAGTTCACAGTGCTATAACCTACTGCCTGTCAGTAGGAGTTGATCACCGGGACATTAAAGACGAGAACATTCTTATCGACATCTCCACCCACCAAATCAAAATGATCGATTTCGGCTCAGCTTCTCTTTATCACAAAAACACCCCCTACACCTACGGTAGAGGAACTTCCATACTCCTTCCCCCGGAGTTCTACAACACTGGCTGCTACCTTGCTCTTGATGCCACCACATGGGCCTTTGGGTGTCTGGTCCACAAGATGGTGACAGGATACCACCCGTTTAGGAACCGGGGTGAGATCTTGAACTATAACCCGAGGTTACCGAGAGTTGGTGTGCTGTGTAGGGACTTTGTGAGACAGTGTCTAGCTAAAGATGCTGAGGAGAGGATGGAGTATAACAGGCTGGCTGTGCATCCCTGGTGCTCTGCTGATTTATACGAGATTCATATTTGAGTGATAACGGTTCATTGCTTGAAGTTAGCAGCTTTTTAAAGGACTCTTTTAATGATAAATGTTTGAGATTTTTTGTTGGAAGCTTTTTTTTGTTCGTAATTTTTAAAATTATCCTTTATCAAATCTATTTTAAGATTTTAAGATTGAGAGATTACTTTAGATATATCAGTTCTAGATTTATAGAATTAAACTGTATACATTTATTATTTTGTTATCACAAAATGTGTCCTTGATTGACTTATTTAATAGTCCATAGTCCATACATTTTTGTCAATTCTAACCATGGCTATCCAACATCAATATTCAAGGGAATTCTAGATCACTCTTTCTCCCAATTATATCACAACCTTAATGTGATTTAAATATTGTCCAACTTTAAGTAACCAATCAACTGACGGCGTAAATCTATTTCAGTAAAGAGATATCCGTTGATTGGACTACAATACAGAATAAAATCAACATGGAACTAGAAAGTGAACGAGGAAAATGAAGTGCTGGACCTGATCATAAATCTCAATTTACTGTGAACGTAGTGAATTAAAATCCTGTTTTCGACTTTTGGCTCGGGTTAAAGTAATTGGGGACAACAAACAATGTTTAACAGTTGGAACATTTACAACATGTGCTGGACACAGATTTAATCCATGACTGGTCAACAGACGTCAAGTAGTCAGATATATAGCAATGTGGTGGGGTTTATACCTTTTTGAGTGCTTTGTCGAGTTGTTGTTTATTTGTGTTTATTATACATGATTATATATTTGAATTTTACGCAATGCTAAAACGATCTATAGAATTTCTCGAAATTATAATATTTCTATCACAATTCTCGATGGACTATGGTGAGTCTAGTCCATAATAATAATATCCTTTAATTCATTTTGTCCAGCATGATATGTGTCACGCAGAATAAGACCTCGACCCTAATTTTGTCCACAACGTCAAAAACGGTCCCGGTTTGAGTAGATATGTTTATTAGGAGGGCGTTACTACTTTGGTATTAATGCTATTAATAGTGGGAAGTTTGGCTACCGAGCGATATCAGATTTACTGTCCAAAAGGAGCCTATATATAATGCAAAATATACAATAGGCTCTGATGATTTGCGGGGGGCTGTGCGGAAATGAGTGGAAGCTTATTCTCTTAAAGACTTTTTGATTTTATCGAATTAACATCTTCACTACAGCATGGTCCGCATGGTTAAATCACAGTGTCCTCACCACTAGCTGATACCAGTGGCAGTTCCAGTTTCCACATCACACATCACACATCACACATCACACATCACACATCACACATCACACATCACACATCACACTTCACATGTTTTCAACCTCGCCTCCAATAATACAGGGTAAGATAACTATAAACTGCACTGCCACGTTTTCAACTTTGCCGCTTTCTGTGTAGGAATTTGAATAACAATCCTCAATATGGAAGGGTGTAGATAAAGTTCATTGCCTTGAAAATAAAATTAGGTTTCTGGCCGGCATAGGAATTTTATCACCTGGCCTCCCCAGTTATTCTAGAACATTCTTAGGAGTCGTGGAATTCGATTCCGTTTGTTTTATTTCGGCAGAATGAATTTATCTCTAAGAAATGAACCTATTAACGATCAGTGTCCACTGTCCGCGACTGAAGTCTAATTCTAAACGGTTACCAGGGCTCTACAAGAAACCTTTCTGCTATCTTGTTTCTTGAAATGCCGAATGTGTGACAAATCCAAAACATGCTAGTACACTGACTACTGACTAGGTTATGGGCATCCTATAAAAAACGGAAAACAGTTTACGCAAAAGTTTTAAAATGCCTGAGCTTCTTCAAGTTGCCACGTAGACATTAAAAACATGGATGGTGAGGGAATTTGGTAATTTAGCTAGGCTCACTTGGGGCACACCTGGGGCACAAAATTTAAATTCCTGGGGCACAGTTTGGTTGTAAAAATCCGTTTTATGCCATTATAAATAAAATATTCTGCAGTCCACATAGGCTAATTAGGTACTCACCGAACCTGGTAATGGGTAAACTTAATGATAATTAAAATACTAAACTTGCTTACAGGACGTATTGAAGGTGTTGAAGGATCACCAAGCACTCCACTCCACCAAGTACCAACCACCATCACCCTCACCCCCTCCAACTCTAGTCCTGGATCCGAACCACATTCCCCAGATTCCGACACCCTTCCCTCTCAGTCGTCACTCACTAACACTCCACTATCAACACCCAAAGTAACACCTTTAACTACGCCTCTGGTTACACCTCTAAGTACTCCACTATCAACACCCAAACTAACACCTTTGATAACACCCAAACTAACACCTTTGGCTACATCTAACATGGCTACACATTTGATTTCTGGCAGATCTACACCTAATCACTACGGGAGGGTTGCGCCCCTTCACCCCACTTCTACTGCCTCCAGTGAGTACTGACAAATAGAAAACACTTAGTTTTAGAGTGCATTATAGAATGAAGGTAGGCTAAAGCATTAAAGTTTATAGATTATGCTGGAGGTATTTACTATTCAGCTCAGGTCCAAGTTTTAACTCAGTAACTGTTCTAATTGTTATGGCTTTATTACAATTTCACAACTATAAATATTGAATATTAACATACCCTACATATGTCTGTTATACAATAGCCGTGTTGAGTGTTTGTGTAACTAAACACTTTCAGTTCGGAGTACCCTGGTATCTGAGCTTAACCACAATCTCATCGGTAGAGCATCAGAAGACAAAAGTGTTTCAAGATTCGAATCCGGATTGCCCAGATCACAATCCGGATTGCTCGGATCCCAGGCTATGGATGTGTTTGAATTCACTGATTTTGACAATGTTGGTGGTTGTAGCACAAACACCAATCAAGCTTCTGGATCAGATTCTAACTGCAAGGCTCGACGAATTAACCCTATTCCAGCGTTTGGGAATAAGAATTCACACAAATTTAAAGTGAAGCTGAAATCCAAACGTAATTTGATTTCCTATATCAAGTTCTGATTGAAATTTGTTAACATAATTTTTAATGCAGCTTAGCTTGTGCATTTGTATTCTATTCTCTTTGTCCGGATTTATGAATTAAGTTTTTGCTTTCCGGCTGTACAGAATCCAATTCGATGATGACTGTAGCTTACTTAATTTAGCGGACTTGATCAGGGAGTAAACGAAATAATACTCTCGTATATTGTAAAGTTAAGACAATAAATTTAATTATACTAAGTAATTTAAGTAATTTAATAATACTAAGACTAAGTACTACTACTATTTTATTACAAATCTTCCCGCTAAAGTTGATACTTTAAATTATAGAAACTATAATTCCAACTGGAATATGTAACAAGATTCCGAGCGATTAGTGCAGAGTAATTGATTTAAGAAGAGTCTTAAATTGTTTAATGTCTGAAATCTGAATGGACTTAAGACAAAACTGGTAAAAAGTCTGATATATAAAAACCAGATTATTCTTTTAAAAAGTATTTATAAATACTGAGACTCTCAGTCGATTAAAAGCAAAGAAAAGGATTCGCTTAACAGTTTAAGAATATCTAAAATGCCTTAAAACTGTTAACAGTAAAAAACATTCTCAACAGTTAAAGGTAATTTTAATACCTATAAAACAGTTAAAAACAGTTAAAGATGATACAGAAAGCAAGAGTCCTGTGCACGTGTCCAGCACGTGTCCAGCACGTGTTTAGCACGTGTCATATCTCCGCTATTGTCCCTGTACAGTTGTTGATGGTACACGGTTGCTGTTAACAACCATGTTTTTGCTCTCAGAACCAGGATTAGGATATCTACTTCGTCCGGCCTGAGAGCGGGGGTTCTCCTCTGGTCTGCTCCTCTTCGGGCTGTATCGCGCCGAGAAAGGAGCTGAGGAGGTGGTCACGTGACATGATGCCCTTATAAGGACATCACGTGGCTGAGACCGGGCCCAAGCAAGCTAGGTGGTGTCCCAAACACCAGGATTTAGATCATTTAGAGGTCATCATCTCGGTAGGGGGTGGTTTAGTGTCCTGCTCCGTACTTGGCGAGCGCGTCTGAGATGTTGGTCTTCACAGCACTCTTGGCTTTATCTGGGAGGATTCACTTAGTGAGCGTTCTGGAAACAGCATCACAATAAATATTAAACTGTAGAATTAAAATTGGCGAGGGAATTATCCAAAAGAAAGATGAACTGCAATTTGGTATGCTCACCATTAGCGGTTTTAAGGCTGTTGGAGATGGACTTATTCATATTGACACTGCTGCTGCTGCTAGCTTGTTTGTTGTTTTGGTTCTGAGAAGAAGAGTTGTTGTTGTAGGAACTAAGAGCATTTTGCATACTTGAAGATCCTGATCCGCTTGTGTTCTGAAATAAACAGTCGTTAATGGCAATGCTGCTAAACAAAATCGATGTCATTGAATCGAAAAACTTTTGAAAATCTTCACTGCATATAATTTTTGGTTGAAGTTATGACATCGTTGATCATCCATTAATATAAAACATAAAAAGTAGCTTGTATAAGAACATATTTGGATGCTTAATATACAACGCAATAGTATGATAATTATATAATTAATTATATAATTATAATTATATCGCAGTTTGTTGAGAAAACATACTTCTCCGGTTCTCCTGTTATAGTCCTATCAATACAAGTGCAAATACGCAACTATGCATTGAGACTTATGAGGTCCTTAATGGTCCGAGTCCTACCAATACGCTCTAGATAGTTCTAGAGGCATTGGGACTAATGAACTAAACAAACACAGGGTGCAACCAATCGCTTGGTGCTGAAAAGGGTATATGTAATCCCTTGGGTTCACATGCTTTAGGCATAGAGTTCTAATATGGTCCTCGAGGAGGTTTCCTACTACACGACATTTACATTAACAGAACATGTATAATAAAGAAGCAAAAATATAAAATAATGTAAACCTTGCCGGTTTGCCAGAAGTTTAGGTTGCCAGTACCAAAATAGCTCGTTGAGGTTTTCTTTTCCGTCACAGTATCGCCCTACGGCAGATAATTTGGTGAACTTAAAATGGCCTGTGAAATTTTATTCAAACTCAATCAGGAGTTGCAGAATCATTACGTAATTGAAGCCGATATAAAATCAAATTTCCTTTTTTTATTCTTTTCCTGGTCATGAATTTTAAGAGAAACCGGCAAGATCAATACTTCCTCAAAATGCCAATAAAAGGCATTTTGAGTTCAAAGGGTGCTTCATGAACTTTTTTAACATTTATGCAAGTCACTTATTTTATTATTTCAATCAGAATTAAAGAGGCTATCATACATTTTTGATTCAAAAGACTCAAAAGTACATAGTCTCATACCTGTTTGTTGCTGTGCTGCTGCATTTTTTGGGTATTGCAAATGGACATCATTTTTAAATCGGGTTTATTGCTTGATTTCCTATTAAAAATCATTAATAAGTTTAATATATCAGTTTACTTGCTAGGAGATCAAAAGGAGAGTAATAAGAAAAACACCGTCTCAGGAGTTTGAGGAAACGGAAATAAATGGTATGGGACTGTAACAAAACTATTATAATAAATGTAATATGATAGTGCTGTTAAATATTTCCCTCTGATATTTAAGATATTTAAAAATAAATCCCAACTCAACTCCCCCTACACACAAATATTCAACGCAAAATAACAACACGCACAAATCCACAAGCACAGCGCCTCACGAAATGTAATATGTACACGTCGATTCTGAGGCAAATTATCTTTGGTAGAACTGGTACAGCCATTATCAAAATCTCGACTATTCTAGAACATTCGTATCGTCTAGAACA